TTTTACAACCGGGATGCAAGCAAAGACTGACAGTATTGTTTTCTCTAAAGCAGAAATTACAATCAATTGGAAATACACTTTACTGGACAAGCCAGGATGAGAAACACATATCCTGTACAAAAGGCAGAGGATCAAACAGATAAATATAATAAATAAATAAACAGTATGTGTGTGTGTGTGTGTGTGTGATTAATAAACACATTAAGCCTCGTTTGAACAAACTACAATGGAAAGCCACACATCATCTATAAATGAAAAAAAAAGTGAAAAGATGGGTCCTCCCATCAGCCTATCCCCCATCTTGTCATGTACCTACTATGCTGATACCATCAAGGGAAAAGGCTATTTGCACACAGTCATGTAGTTACAGGTCTATAGTTGGTAAGTGAGGTTTCATCACAGGTTATTGCAAGATTTGTATTTCTAGCACACTTCCTTCTCAGATTCAGGCAAAATGACCGGTTGGCAGATAGACAGACAGACAAAGGCTTCTAATCTCTTATTTTCGTTTGCACGGGACAATTGAGGATTACACAAGTCTAAGCATTGTGATTTATGGCCACCTTTTGCACATTGCACACCCTTGAAAGCATGGATTGTGAATTGTGGGGATTAAAGTCCACACATTTGGAACACGGACAGATCAGCTACCTTTATGGAGCATGCACATTTACCAGCTGGAGGTTATTTTCAGGTAATATTTTTATAATGCAATCACCACACTTGGTGGAATTATACAAAAACTCCAAATTGACCGTTATCTTCCAGTGGAACATATTTTTCGGCCAATTGTTCCAACTCTTTTTTTTTTCCTTATCACCAAAAAATCCCTCGCAAAAGGAAAAAGGAACAGCTGTACAACTGATAAAATTAGAAGCTCTTCACCAGGAAACACTCCAAGAATAATATTCCATCCAGGCAAACCTTACTGTCATGGCAATAAAAAGTGTGGGAGAAGAGTGCACTAAAAGCAATAAGGTTTGCATAGCATAAAGCCAAAGGGGTTCTTCGTTATACTGCATTCTGCTGCTAACTCCTTGGCTGCCTTCCATTCACTGACATACCAAGAAAGAAATCAATGGTCAGGTCTGTATATACCACCATTACCAATATGGTAAAATGTATACTATACTCAAACACACAAAAGCAAGCTCCAATTCATGAAAGACACACATCTCTCTGTGTGTGTATATATGCGTATGCATTTGCATCCACCTCACTGCTCTTTTTTGTTTTCACAGAAAACTCTGTGGTGGATTTAAACTTTCAGCAGTCCGTTCCCTCCCATTCTTGAAAGAAGCTGGACGCAATACCATACTGCCCGCCCTAGCTTTGCATCTAAGAGATGATCTGCACACTCAAAAAGCATGCATCACAGCGATGAGGTCATCAGCAACTCCTGGAAACTGGCTGCTAGGAAGCAGACAAAAAAAGAATCTCCCATGTTCTACCAGTCAATCTGGATGACTGGGAAAAAGAAGAGATGGGTGGGGGTGGACAGGGGAATAACTTTCAACAGTTTCTCCAGCATTACCAGTTCTGCTAGGTGCAAGCCCTAGAAAAGAAATCCAGAAACAGGACAGAGTCCAATTCTGTTGCATAGCTCTTCAGGATGTATGTCACCCCCTGTGGGTTCTGTTTTCCTTAGACCGGGGGGGTCTTCAAACTTGGCCCTTTTATGACTTGTGGACTTCAACTCCCAGAATTCCTCAGCCAGCGTGCCTGGCTGAGGAATTCTGGGAGTTGAAGTCCACAAGTCATAAAAGAGCCAAGTTTGAAGACCCCTGCCTTAGACCATGTGGCACATGCCAAGCTACCTGGCACGTCTGGAGGCCATAGAAGAATTCCTGAGATCAATGCAACATCCACTCTACTCACACAATGCTGTCTCATTATCCCAGGTCTTTGAAAGTCAACTAATATCTGCAATGTATTTAAGGAGTAAATAAACTGTTTAAACATAGCAATTGCTTTTCCAAAATATATTCTACAAGTTCCTCTATGGGGATCCCTCAGAATGAGATGTTCCTGCACAAGGACCGCCAAAGGGAATGGACATCCTGCATTGGATTGTGTGCAGAAATCTTCGAATTATAAAATAGGGAGGAGCCATTTAGCCATCAAGTCTCCCAGAAATTTTAGATTTAAAAAAAAATATCTATATTGGTTGGGATCCATTCTCCCCATCCCATAGCAAAGTACAGAAATGGGATTCCCTATTCAAACCCAAAGATTTGGTGTCCCCTAATAAGCACAATATTTATATGTATTTAAATGGAGATCATACAGACATAACTTAAAAGAGAGCAGCCTGTCTTATCTATCCCAAAGGTGCTTTTTCAAAAGGCAACTGGACTTTGTTTTCCCTTGAAGATGTTTCGCTTCTCATCCAAGAAGCTTCTTCAGTTTCAGTTCTCGGAACTGAACAAGCTCCTTGGATGAGAAGCGAAACGTCTTCAAGGAAAAACAAAGTCCTTTTGAAAAAAGCACTTTTGAGACCACCTTGACTTGCATGACTGAGGCTCTCCATAGACACTTTCTTCTCTACCGTGCTCCAGAGAGACCTCGGTCTATCACAGAACCCCATGTGACTGTACCCCCAAAATAAATGGCAATCTTGCCCAGGATGGGCAGGAACCCTGGTACCTGGGGATAGCTAGGTTTCCAAAGAAAGAACCGGATAAATCCACCGTTTCTTTTTCCGCTTCGTTCATGGAATGAACGGGATCTGCTTTTCTTTCTCCCTCCCATCCGCCCCATGCGGAAAGTTGGGGGAGGCGATGGGGAAAAGGGCACCCAGCGAGGCCTGACTCAGGAGACACGCATGCATGCTGGTGGAGTCCAAATTAAGGGGGGGGGGGGAATCCTAGCCAGCGCTTTTCTAGGGTCAACTCAGTCCTAAGGACGCCCGTCCCGACGGCGACCACCCAATTGCTGGATGAGACAGGGGTCGATCCCCCTTCCCCGTCGGCGCCCAAGCACCAGCGCGGTGGAAAGATGGAAAACACCTGGTCGGGAGGCTCACCGGCTCCAGCTGGGGCTCCCCAGCCGCCGCAGCCCCGAGATCCGCCTGCGACCGCAGACTCCGACAGGGAGCGTCACCCCGAAGAAGGAAGTTTTCCTCCCCCCCCCCTCCTTCCCGCGAACGCCCGTCAGCCAGACAGTCGACCGGACTGACCCAATGGGTAGACTTTCCTCCTGGGCCAATCAGGACCTCTCCAGATGCTGACGTAGCGGAGAGGCGGGGCTACGACCCAGTTTCGGGGAGGGCGAAGGAGAAGGGATCATTAACCCCGCAGAGGCTGCCAGGGGAGGCGGGAGCGTCGTCTGCTGTCCAACGTATCGCAGCGGGCGAGAGGCTGGAAAAGCGCGCCAGGGATTCTCAAGGAACGCTCGGACGTGATCTTCCCCTTGGAGAAACCTTCAGTCAGATCGACTCAGGACAAAAAAAAATAATCTGAAGGGAGGTAGTCCTCGACTTACAACAGCTCGTTTAATGACCGTTTGGCGTGACAATGGCATTTTAAAAAAAGTGGCCTACGACCCATTTTTACACTTATGAAAAAGGGGAAACTTTTTGGCCAGGTGATCTGAATTCAGATGCTTGGCAGCTGGTTCATATTTATGACGGTTGCAGTGTCCCAAGGTCATGGGGTTCCCTTCTGACCAGCAAAATTAATGGAGAAGCCACTTAACAACTGTGATATTAATTGAAGAATTGGGGTGATTTGCTTAACAAATGTGACAAGAAAAGTCGTAAAATGGGGTAAAACTCACTTAACAAATGTCTCACTTAGCAGCATAAATTCTGGAATCAACTGTGGTCGTAAGTTGAGGACTGCCTGTATAGTGTATTGATGCTATTGGATATAATGCCATCTCCTTCATTGTATTGTTGACAGGGGACAAAGATAAGTTTTATTCTCTTAGGATTTTTAACTCATTACATTGCATTGGAGGTTAATTAATATTATTGCTGTTTCTTTTACATTTTGTTATTGGAAAAGGTTTTAAAATGATCACTTTTTTAAAAAAATAATAACTGCTGTTTTGAGCTTAACTTTGTTAGGTAGTGATTTTAAAGCTACCTTGGGCAAATGTCTGATTTGAAGGGCTCTGCATAAAACTTGTGTCTACATTCAGTCCCAGGCAGCAGGTTCAAAGCTGACATTCAAATAGAATAGAATAGAGCTGGAAGGGACTTTGGAGGTCTTCTAGTCCAGCCCCCCCCCCCCCGCTCAAGAAGGAGAACCTATAACATCGCCCATGATTTCTGGAGGCAAGCTGTTCCACTGTCCTCACTGTCAGGAAGTTTCTCCTTAATTCCAGGTTGCTTCTCTCTTTGATCAGTTTCCAACCATTGTTTCTCTCCTTCCCTCTGGTGCTTTGGGGAATAACGTGACCCCCTCTGCTATCATGTCACCCTTATTTCTTCTTTTCTTTAGACTAGCCCAGTGGTTCTCAACCTTTCTAATGCCGCGACCCCATAATACAGTTTCCCATGTTGTGGTGACCCCCAACCACTTATATATCACCGGGTGCCAGGGGCGTGACCAAAGAAAAGGGGGAAAAAATGGCGGACAGCCTTGTTTGGTGACCCCCGTGAAATGGTTGTTCGACCCCAAATGGGGTCCCGACCCACAGGTTGAGAACCACTGGACTAGCCAAACCCAAGTCCCACAGCCGTTCTTCATGTGTTTTAGTCTCCAGGCCTTTGATCATTTTAGTTGCTCTTTTCTGAACTTTTTCCAAGGTCTCAACCTCTTTTTTGTAGCATGGTGACCAAAATTGGTTGAAGTATTCCAGGTGTGGTCTTATTCATTTTAATTGATTAATTCAAACAATGGTCTAGATCAGGGGTAGGCAACCTTGGCTGTTTTATGACTCGTGGACTTCAACTCCCAGAATTCCTAGGAATTCTGGGAGTTGAAGTCCACGAGTCATAAAAGAACCAAGGTTGCCTACCTCTGGTCTAGGTCCTAGAAGAGTAGACGACTCACCTTATTCCATCAGAGGGGACTGAAGAGCATAGCCTTTAGAAATCTTCTATGGCAGGAGAATATATGAAGGAAAGCTGAAGCCAAAGAGACTTTATCTTTAATGATCCGGGATAGTGCTCAAAAAGTTGACTTGTCTCCTATAAATATAAACAGATGGAATTATGTACCGGAATTACCCAGAATATTTGCATTCATTAGCACCCCGAAGTATAACAACTGCCATTACAGGAAGTTCTCAACTTACAACAATTCTTTTAATGACTGTTTGATGTTACAACGGCACTTAAAAAAGTGATTTATGACTGTTTTTCACAGGACCATTGCAGCATCCTCAGGGTCATGTGATCAAAATTCAGATGCTTGGCAATTGACTCCTATTTATGACAGTTGCAGAGTCCCGGGGTCATGTGATCACCTTTTGTGACTTCCGAACAAACATAGTTAATGGAGCAAAGTAAGTTAAGGGAGAAGTCAGATCAACTTAATAACCGTGTTACTAACTTAACAACTTCAGTGATTCACTTAGCAACTGTATCAGGAAAGGTCATAAAATGGGGCAAAATTCCCTTAACAAAAGTCTCCTTAGCAACAGAAATTTTTTGCTCAGTTCAGATCCTAAGTCAAGGACTACCTGTATTTTGTTTCTTGCTATAGAGCAGACATGTCAAACTTTCCATAGTTGCTTCTTTTGCCTGTTGGTGCTTTGGAAAATAAATTGAAACCCTCCTCTTTATGGCAACCCCTCAAATACTGGAATACTGCTATCATGTCCCCCCTAGTCCTTCTTTTCTCTAGACTGGCCAAACCCAATTCCTGCAACCATTCTTCATATGTTTTAGTCTCCAGGCCTTTAATTATCTTAGTTGCTCTTCTTTGTACTTTTTCCAAAGTCTTGACATCTTGTTTGTAATGTGGTGACCAAAACTGGATGCAGTATTCCAGATGTGGCCTTACTGAGGATTTATAAAGCGATACTAATAATTCACATGACTTTGATTCTATGCCTCTGTTTATACAAGCAAGGATTGTATTAACTTTTTGGGGCTGCTGCCACACACTGCTGTGTGCGGCATTGAGAAGCATGTAAACAGATGATGGCGATGCTGATTGCAACTCAGGAAATGCATTTGGAGTATATTATTATTATTATTTGGGAGCAGCAAAGTGAACACTGGGACGCTATTCTAGCATTCAGCATCAAACCAATCTGAGATTATTCTAACTAGGAGAAGACAAAAGCATCACAAAGGCTCCAGATGATGCTCAGGCATAAACATTCCAAAGGACTGTCAGAGTTCCAGGGTTCCTAGCAGTGCACCCAGGCAAGGAAGTTATCACTGGCAGCTGTTACAGCAACACATCTGGTGGTGTGTAAAACTTTGTTGTTAGTTGCGAAGTCGTATCCCACCCATTGCGACCCCGTGGACAACGTTCCTCCAGGCCTTCCTGTCCTCTACCATTTTCTGGAGTCCATTTAAGCTCACGCCTACTGCTTCAGTGACTCCATCCAGCCATCTCATTCTCTGCCATCCCCTTCTTCTATTGCCCTCAATCTTTCCCAGCATTAGGCTCTTCTCCAGTGAGTCCTCCCTTCTCATTAGGGGGCCAAAGTACTTGAGTTTCAACTTCAGGATCTGGCCTTCTAAAGAGCAGTCTGGGTTGATCTCCTCTAGGACTGACCGGTTTGATCGCCTTGCAGTCCAGGAGTCTTCTCCAGCACCATAGTTCAAAGGCCTCAATTCTTTGGCACTCAGCCTTTCTTATGGTCCAACTTTCACAGCCATACATTGCAACTGGGAAAACCATGGCCTGGACTATACGCACTTTTGTTGGCAGGGTGATGTCTCTGCTTTTTAGTATGCTGTCTAGATTTGCCATAGCTTTCCTCCCCAGGAGCAAGCATCTTTTAATTTCTTGGCTGCAGTCCCCATCTGTGGTGATCTTTGAGCTCAGGAAGATAAAATATTTCACTACCTCCATTTCTTTCCCATCTATTTGAAAATAGAAGGTATATAGCAGAGTGCCAAGAGAAACAACCCTATGATTTTATGGAGAATTATTGGGGGGAGCAGATGATGGAGGACAATGATTGCTCCCTTCCACAGCTGTTCTTGAAGTTTGTAGCTCTTTATTTCTTTTGAATGACATGACCTGTGATCCCTTAAAGTAGCCTCACAAAAATTGAAGTGATGCAGCTACCAGTCCAGTGGTCAGTTTCTGTCAATGGATAATGAAGTACCAATGAAGAAGAATATTTGTGTCTCAGGGTTGAAATGAGGGGTCCTTGGTGTTCTTTGAGCTTGTTTCCTTGCAGGCATTTCATTATCCAAACTAAGTAACCTTATCAGTGCACTGATAGTAAAGTGATTTTGAGGTAAGCAAATGAAGCTGTAATATAATGACTGAAGGAGGATAGAAAGAACCCATTCCTGATTAAAGGTGTATGTTTGTAGTTGTGTAGAACAGGGTTCCCCCAACCTTTCTGGCTTTGCAAATTGGTGGGGGGAGGGGGGAGGGGATGGTTCCGCACAAGCGGTGGGCACGCGTCCATGTTCGTGCAGCCATTTGCGCGAGCAACGGGCACACACGTTGATCGCGCAAGTGGGGATGCGCATGCGCAGGTGCTCATCTGCCACTTCCGCAATCTTGTTCCCAACCGCTCAAGGCCCAGTAGTGGGCTGCAGCCTGGGGGGGGGGGGTTGGGAACCCCTGGTGTAGAAAAGTCACTTTTGGCTCATTAGAGCACAGAATTAAACCTTGTCCACTACAATTACTTCAAAAATTGGGCAATACTGTAAACCAGGGGTAGGCAACCTTGGCTCGTGTATGACTCGTGGACTTCAACTCCCAGAATTCCTGAGCCAGCATGGCTCAGCTTGGAAACTCTCCCTTTCCCCTCAGCATGGCTGGCTCAGGAATTCTGGGAGTTGAAGTCCATGAGTCATAAAAGAGCCAAGGTTACCTACCTCTGGCTTGGGCCTAGGCCGCTTTATGATTCGTGGACTTCAAGTCCCAGAATTCCTGAGCCAGCATGGCTCAGCTTGGAAACTCTCCCTTTCCCCTCAGCATGGCTGGCTCAGGAATTCTGGTCCACGAGTCATAAAAGAGCCAAGGTTGCCTACCCCTGCTGTAAACCCTCTCAGGTAAACCAGACAGAAAACATGACTAGATGAGCTAATTCTACTTTATTGTAAAACTACATTAATAGAATCTTGCAAGTCTGAAGGCACAAGCTTGTCACTGCTGCTTTTAAATACTATTTCATTAGGATGAACCCTTCCTAAGTTTCTTTCTCTGACTCTTAAGCCACTGGAGGCTCCTGCCTCTTTTATTTGATTGTTTCCCAAGCAGCAGCTCTTGACCTCTTCCCACACATTCCATTACAGATGCCTTTGCCTGCTGTTCAGGCAAAAACCAGTCAAGTTATCTAGGAATTCTATTCCAGAAAATTGCTTCTAAGTTTGTAGCAGCTAGGGACTGTGAGAAAAGACACATTCTGAAGCATCCGTGGTCTTGACACACCGCACAGCCCTAGTTATTACTTAATTTTGTTGTAGACGTTTGCCCTAACCTGGGAAGCAGGTAGCCAAAATTAAGAGCAAATAAATTAGAAGTCACTTATTAAAGTCACTTTACCTTTCTTCTATTTAACAATCTGTGCATTGCATACCTGAACACAAAGGATGCATTACTATGTTACCACATGTTGGCAACTCTCCAGATGACATGGATCTTCAAAGCCAAATGTCCTCCTACATTCAGGCCAGCTACCCACCCTCACAGGGGCCTGTAGTTCACTCTGATCCCATTAAGTGATTGAGGCTGAAGTCAGTTAGCTCACAAAGACATTAGTTTTGTAGTTGCTGCTCATCTAATGACTTCATAGATCTTTGGTTTTGATTCAACAATACAAAACATTGTCTATTGATTGGTAGTTAAGGAACAGGGCAAAAAAGTGATTTTCCCCACTAGTGGAATGTTTTGTATGCCTAGTAATTGAAATAAAGCATATTCTGGATGATTCAATACTATAATTAGACCTATAGAAGTAGAAACTGGATTGATAACTTGAGACAAAAATATTACTTCAATGTAGATTTTGACTTTTTAAAATATTCTTTCTGATCCTGGAAGAACAGGCATGCACATATTAAAACAAATATTCTTTCACCTTTTTTAAAAAAAAAAAACTCCACCAGACTGCAGAAATGCATTGATTTTTAATAGACTGGGTCTACTTTTGTATGGATTGCAGCCAACTTCCTGGGCATTATGGAAAGCTGACAGTTGCATTTGTTAGCAACACAAAATACAATTGAATGAAAGCTTTCTGCTAGCCTTTCTTCTCCCCAATATCAATACCTTTCCATTCATCCATTAGTTTTTAGCATGTTTTCAGTTCGATTATCTAGTATCTTGGGCAAAGGGAATATTAAATTGTGGGGAGCAGAACTGAATTTCTTGCCTGCAGCATCAGATCTCAGCTGTGGCTTAAAGTAAAACAACGTAAAACAACATTTTGGGTGTTCTGTTTTGTTTTGTTTTTAAAAAAGGGGGCAAACCCACTGAATAAACGAAGCCAATTTTTCTACTTTAGAGATGAAAAGCAGCACAACAAAATCATAATGGTGAAGCAGTTCATGACCACTTTGGTGATGAATGGATCAAATGCCAGAAATGTTTGGTTTTGACAGAACTCTCATACAAAAAAGAACATCAGACATACAGAATATAGAACAGTGTTTCTCAACCTTGACAATTTTAAGGCATGTGGACTTCAACTCCCAATGCTGGTTGTGGAATTCTGGGAGTTGAAGTCCACATGCCCTAAAATTGTCAAGATTGAGAAACACTGATATAGAATAAGATTTGGAAGGGACCTTTGCGGTCTTCTAGTCCAAACCTCTGCTCAAGCGGGAGACCCTATCCCAAACTGGACAAACGGACATGGTACTTTGCTGAAGATATATACAGTCTCTCATCATGTGTGGATGTTGTGACATCTTGAAGACAGTGATGCTTTGCTGCTTCCTTAGCAATAATTCTACTACACAGAACAGGAACTGCAATGCAATTATATAATATTTCGGCATCTTTATATCAAGCTGTCGCCCTTCTCCAAAGACAAATATAGCACACATCGGGGTTACATAACCATTTATTTATTCTTTCTTTCTTCAAGAATCACTGGTCTGCACAAAGGCTCATTGCTCCTTTTATCATCATGTGATGCACTAGTCCAAGATCACTAAGGAAGCTGCATGGTGATGCGGGATGCTGAATTTAAATATTCCAGCCCTCCTGGGCGTAAGAACCAAATGTCCAAGTATCATAGCAGAATAAAGGCCACATCTGGCTTTCAAGCCAGGCCAAAGTCCCTGAAGTTTTCTATAGCATCCAATAACTTTTTTCTAAGAATGTGTTTATCAGTGTATCTAGGAAGAAACAAAATTCGATGGCAAGTGTGAACCATGGGCAATGATTGGTCTGGATTTCCTTGATTTGCGTCAACAATAGTAATTGAGAAATTGTCCATCGTTTCTCCTGGAATGTGAACAGTTCCTGTGAGAAAAGCTGAAGAGAAAGTGGAAATCAAACAATGCATTGTAGTAAGAACATAACTTAAGCACCTAGTCCTCATACTTAGCTCTAAGATTTTTCCCAATAGCACTGGGAAGATAACACGTTCACTTTCTCTACTTTCTCTCCATCTGTACCTTTTTGAGGAATTGATTAATATACACATTTAATAATAAGTATTTCCTATGATTATATTCTCTATGATTGCATAAGCTGCCTATCAGAGTTTCTAAATCAATCGCCATTGTATCAGAATAGCTTGTTTGGCTTCTCTTTCCTTAGTCAGAATAATGATATTGGGTGTTTTTTTTTTTTTAAAGAAATAGTTATTACCAAGAAAATCCTTCTTGCTTTCTTCAGGAAAGTCATAAAACACTGTCCAAAAGTTCTTGATTGTTTCATCTGACTCTTCAAAACCTCTATATATGACGTTCTGCAGAAAGAATAAACATAAATCTCCCTGTTAATGGTTCAGCATCTCTTTATACAATCCAACTTTCACTGCCAGCATAACCCAGTTATATATTTCAGTTGACCTTGGATCTTTTTCTAAATAGCATCTAAGACCACTCTGCCCTTGAAATGCTAAGGACTCCTTTTCGTTTTTCCCAGGTTTACAAAAAACGTAGTTTCAAACATATTATTATTATGGATCATCGCATAGTCAGCCAGATGTTCAGACTGGATTTGGCATTTTGTCTACCTATCGAGTCCTTACCCAGGACCTGGGATAGGCAGATGTGGATGTTCGATGGTATTACAGATATCGTCGCAGGATGGAAGCAGTTCCTATTATTATTATTATTGTTGTTGTTGTTGTTATCATCATCATCATCATCATCATCTTCTGTTGCCCCTCTCCCTCTATGTCTATAAAACTAGAAACTCAAAGCTAACTGCAAGCATTTCTGAACCTGGGAACTGACAGACATTGGACTGGGATGCAACTTACAAATTCCCAATTTTGGCCTTAGAGATATCTGCTGATTAATATTAATGGGTCAAATTATACCTTCTGCCTTTATTTTCTTTATGTTGTTATACATAAGAAATCCAGCACAACTATTTATTTTGCACTGCTCTCAGTACGGCTCAGCTCACGGCATCTATAGTCCCAAGCAGTTTCTCTATTTCATTTAAGACAGGGGTCCACAACCCCTTCTGGTTGGGCTGGGAATCGGGCCACGCAAGCAGAGGGCGAGAGCACAAGCACGCAAAGCTACATTTGCACAAGAGGCGTACATGCGAAACCATCCTCCTCCCACCAGCCACTGCCAGTCCACAGAGCCGGGAACTTGGGAACTGCTGATTTAAGAAGTATACCAGAGGACCAGTTAAATTGTTGCACCACACTGAGGAATAAAAATGTGGATCCTAAGGATGTTGCAACCTAAGGGACTGCTACTGTTTGAACCAGGCTTCACACTTACATCCTTAACCTGTGTAATCCCTGTACTTGGAAGAAATCCCTACTGCGTCCAGATGGGATTTAGTGCCAAGCACATGTATGTTTGATTGCTTTCTTGATATATTTATTTTGACAGTGCCCATCTCTGAATACTTAGTTATCTGCATTTGTTTGGGGCCACATTTTCTATCCCAATACATATTTAAGAATCAGTCAAGTTCTATGCCCAACATTCAGCCCTCCCACAAATTAAGAGGAAAATAATGAAAGTTCCACAAGGACCCTGGAATAAAGACCAGTGTAATAAGGACTGCAGCAGAGGAGCACATTCTACCTTTTCTAATTGGTCCCATTGATATGCGGTGTTTCCAAACAGGATACCGTGGAGTTCAACAGGAAGAAACATTTTCCACGTTGTACTTGGGCAACCTCTTTGAAATCCACGCACGAAGTCCCCAAACTGCTTCTTCACGGACTCATTGAATATGTAATTCACGTAAGCATCAACGTATTCTTTTCTGTAAGTAGGTACATTTGGTTATTTAGCAGAATTTATACAAACAAAACTTGGCTCATAGAACAGCAGTTATGGGCTTGCAGAGTCTGAGGGAGAGGGAAATGTGCAGGCTGCTCCAGCCCTCGGCATCCCTAGGCTGTGTGGCTCTGTCTGGGAAGTGGGCACAATTCTGGATCAGCCAAAATTCATTGCAGCTGCTCAGAAAATGGCGCTTGTTTCTGGGACAGAGCCACGCGGCATATGGATGCTGTGGAGCAACCTGCTGTCGCGATCTCTGGAGCTTCCAAGAGGTGAGAGATCATGACGGGATGGGGGACGGGTGTGGGACCTGGTGGGGTGGGAAGCAGGCCCAAGATCTGCAGGAACCAAGAGGTGTGGGAAATGAAACATGAGGTGCCTCAGGGTGAGGGAAGCCTTGGGAGGTCCAGGGCAGGTGGGCCTTCACTAGGCCTTCCCCATCCCTGAGACACTTCGTGCTCTGCTTAACAACTGCATTGGGGACAGCAGGGAGGGAAGTTGCTAAACATGGTGATCACGAGTATCTTACTTAACAACCGTCCCTAATGAGCAAGTTCTATTACAGTTGAAAGTCGAAGACTACCGGTAAATCAGTAGAAGACTGATTTGGGAATTAAAAAATCCTGAGGTTTGATTCTCTTTTGATACTGAATTTACAACTTTGGAAACCCACTCCCTTGACCTATGAAACTATTAATACCACTGAATATCTTACAGTACCCAATTTATATCACAGTAACTGAATGCCTTAAGAGTTCTAAAGAAAATACTAAACATTATTTTTAGTAGATCAATGACAGACTTGACATCCAGGTTTCTAAACACCCTCTGCTAATATGCACCACACATATGGTGACTGAAACATCCTAAAAACCTCCATCCACTGTTCACTGAGGGTTTTTTTTTTGTTTTTGTTTTTTTGGTATCTGCCTCATTGTTCCAGCCATGAGTCAGCCATTCAGGGCACAGAGAAAGGCAATGAAGCCATTGAGTTAATTCATCCATTCTCAACTTTCCCATTCTTAATGGAAGCTCTAATGGCGTACTATTGCAGGCTAGCCCTGCCCACAGCCAGGAGTTCAATCCTGATGGACTCAAGGTTGACTCCGCCTTCCATCCTTCCAAAGTTGATAAAATGAGAACCTAGATTGTTGGGGATAACAGGCTAACATTGTAAACTGCCCAGAAAATGCTGTAAAGCACTATGGGGTGATATATAAGTGCTATTCTTCTAATATATTGGTTTCAACTCCCAAAATTCTAAGCAATGACCATTCTGTCTAAGGAACATGGGGAATAGAGGTCACATATCTTGCACTGACCTCAGAACCATAAACTATACTTTTTTCTAATGGTAAAACTATCCCAATGCCAAAGTGATAAAGAGATTCCCTGAACAACCTTTGGATGTTACAAATTTACAGGAACTATGAATGGCAGTAGAATTCCAGAGCAGGATTATCAAATAACTTTTTTAAAAATATATATTTTATTAATTTTTTAACATAATCACCTTAATATTTGGTAAACAGCATGTTGTCTGGGTTTATATTTAAAAATTATCAATAACAATTAATTTCTATAATTCTATAATCCACATAGTAGCTTTCCTTGATTTTCTCCTTCAATAATATTCTTTTTATCAGCCTTAAATTAATACACTTTTTAATATTTTGATAAGATAACAATTGAATATAAACTTTTTCTAGTATTTCTACAAGTAACAACCACATCAATATGAAGCTTCTTTTCTAACTGATCATCTTAATCGCCTTGTCATAGATCCTGTTTTCAAAGTCCTTATTTAAATTTCTTTTCCCCGCAATGTTCAAAACATTCTTACTTGTTAAGATTTTCTCAGAGTTAATTACACTTAAGTATTTAAATCTTTTTCCTCATACAAGCCATCCCAACAATTTTACATTTCTCATCTTAAAACAAAAAAAGAGAAAAGAAAAAAAAGAAGGAAATAGTATACTACTGGAGAAACATATCCCTCTTAAGCTAGAATACATTTATGTCCAAGTTTTTTCTATTCTTTTTAACTATATTCAAGCAAATGTTTAATCTTTAAATATTCCATCTAATAAATCCAATCATCTAATCTTTTAAAACTACTCAAAACATTCTTATCAATTGAATTTTTTTCAAAATCAATTACACTTAAGTATCTAAAACATTTCCCTCATATAAATCATCCCAACATTTTTTATATTTCTATCATAAAAATCTAGTAACTTTAGCTGATGGAAAACGTTTGAGTCTTCCAACTAAGTATGGTCTTTTCTATCAAGAATCTAAATTAGCCAAGTCCTACTAAACCAGTGTTTCCCAAACTTGACAATTTTAAGGCATGAGGACTTCAACTCCCAGAATTCTACAGCCAGCAACGCTGGCTGTGGAATTCTGGGAGTTGAAGTCCACATGCCTTAAAATTGTCAAGTTTGGGAAACACTGTACTAAACTATGTTTAGATTCCAAAATTGCACTGAGAAAATTTATATTCCATATTGCTATCTGAACAAATGAGTAGTTTCAAAAAAGATACCAGTGGAGTGGGAAAGGAAAGTAGAATGCCTACTATGCAAGAGTATCTCTATGTGTGTCTATTTGTGTGTCAAAAAGCCAACATTGTGGTTGCAATCATGCAATCCAAGCTCCAATCTTTTTTAATATATGAATTGAATACATGATACAAGCAAAAAAGGAGAGGGCTTTGGTCACAGAGTTGTGGCTGCCATCTTGATTTTTTTTATCCTTCTTCCACAAGTGGCAGGTATGTGGATATTGTCTTCCCACGGCTATTTTGTTTCTAGCCAGGTTTACTACTGTTATCAGAGCATGACTGGGATGTGGAAAGTACTTCAAGAAGCGGGAACAACAGTTTTGCAGGAGATGAATATTCACAAGGGAAACAAAAAATAACATATAATAGAAAAGGAAAGAAATCTCTGTTATGCAACTGTTATCCCCTCTGCATCAGGATGCTGTTGGAAATTCTGGATTAGAAGCTGTCAAGATTCTTTTTCAAATATATTCTTCTATCCAAAGGTAATCATAATTAAAAATGAACAAATCCATTCCTGGGAAAACTTACCTGTTGTATGAAGTAACAGGTATGTTGGCACCGTTTTCTTTCAAGTTAACCTCAGATATGGATCCTTTACACTTTTCTACTATCTGCAAAGTGATAAGAGTATAAAAGATTAATATGGATGATTCTGCTTGTTTTCAGAACATTAGGTATTATGGGCAGATGGGTGAAATATAGAAATGAACATTTCCCCTCATTAGAAGGGCTGATATTTCACATCATTGTCAGACACTTTGGAAGAGGCAAGTGATAACAAGAGAAAGGACTTCGTGTATTTGGATATCAGTTCTGGAATTTCCTGGCCACAGAAAATGGGTTCACTTGAATTATCATAATTCTTTAGGCAGCAAGCTGGCTTCTAACGGCAATTGTTTACCATGGCTGTGTGGTTGCGGAAACAATGGTATATGCTTATTATCAAACACAAGCCATGAATTATGTACTTGTATCAGACATTGGGAGACAAGTACATAATTGCAAGTATATCATATTTTGACAGTCATAATTTATTACAAATTCCACTATGGGCATCATCAGGAAATGGTCAGTGATGTCAAAATGGCAAAATCTATAGGCTGACTGAACTCCATCACTGTGTAGTGATAAGTGCAGTGTGTTAAAAAAGGAAGGCTTTTGATTGCTCTGTTGCACCTGCCTCTTTGATGCTGACCCCCAGCGTGGGCTCTGGATGTCATTGTGAATTACATTTGTAGTGAATTGCAGAATCTAAAGTTTTATGCTGTTTTATTGTTATGATTGATGTGCCTGTATCTATGTACATACAGTAGTGGCCAAAATTGTGGAAACCTTTTGGGAAAAGTGTACAGTAGAAATGCCACCTTTGGTTAAGTTTCCACCAATTTTTCTTCTAATTTCTTTATAACAGTAGCCTTGTTCACTTAACAGTACTATTATACATCGCTTCCTGGGCAACCAGTCAACTCTTTGCACTATTACTTTAATGTTATTACGTTTTACAAACTCACTAAAGAACACAAAAAAACCCAACCCACTTGATAGTGATCACATAACACACTGACAAATGTCCTCCTCTCAGCTTCAATACATGACATCATTAACTGAACCCTATTGTGATCTGACTGGCTCATTGCCAAAACAAGGACACCTGATTGGCTCTCTAAACACTCATGCTCATTGGCTACAATCAGATGAAGGAAAGCTACCGGATATCAACCTAAGCAAGTTGTGCTTCCTTTTTTCTGGTTATTTGGCTATAACGTTTCATAGAATAAAATACAAATAATTGAACAAACTTTGTTGCACTACGTTCTTGATTAAAGTATCTTTCCACTGATATATAATTTTATGGTACTACTCCCAAAAAAAGTATTATTAGCCATCAAACCTCAAAAATACACTTTTCCCCAAAGGTTTCCACCATTTTGGTCACTGCTGTATATACAGCTACTTGTTAATTTGTTGTTGTTGCTGTTGTTGTTAATTGCGAAGTCGTGTCCGACCCATTGCGACCCCATGGACAACGTTCCTCCAGGTCTTCCTGTCCTCTGCCATCTTCTGGAGTCCATTTAAATTCACGCCTACTGCTTCAGTGACTCCATCCAGCCATCTCATTCTCTGTCGTCCCCTTCTTCTATTGCCCTCAATCTTTCCCAGCATTAGGCCCTTCTCCAGTGAGTCCTTCCTTCTCATTAGGTGGCCAAAGTACTTGAGTTTCAACTTCAGGATCTGTCCTTCTAAAGAGCAGCTGGGGTTGATCTCTTCTAGGATTGACCGGTTTGAACGCCTTGCAGTCCAAGGGATTCGCAGGAGTCTTCTCCAGCACCATAGTTCAAAGGCCTCAATTCTTTGGCGCTCAGCCTTTCTTATGGTCCAACTTTCACAGCCATACATTGCAACTGGGAAAACCATGGCCTGGACTATACGCACTTTTGTTGGCAGGGTGATGTCTCTGCTTTTTAGAATGCTGTCTAGATTTGCCATAGCTTTCCTCCCCAGGAGCAAGCGTCTTTTAATTTCTTGGCTGCAGTCCCCATCTGAGGTGATCTTGGAGCCCAGAAAAATAAAATCTGTCACTACCTCCATTTCTTCCCCATCTATTTGCCAGGAATTGAGAGGGCCGGATGCCATGATTTTGGTTTTCTTAATGTTGAGTTTCAAGCCAACTTTTGCACTCTCCTTCTTCACCCGCATCAAGAGGCTCTTTAGTTCCTCTTCACTTTCTGCCATTAGAGTGGTATCATCTGCATATCTTAGGTTGTTGATATTTCTCCCGGCAATTTTAATTCCAACTTTTGATTCATCTAGCCCTGCCTTTCTCATGATGTGCTCTGCATATAAGTTAAATAGGCATGGCGACAATATACAGCCTTGCCGGACTCCTTTTCCAATTTTGAACCAATCAGTGGCTCCGTGTTCGGTTTTCACTGTTGCTTCTTGACCCGCATATAGGTTTCTCAAGAGACAAATGAGATGGTCTGGTACTCCCATCTCTTTAAGATGTTAATTTGTAATAGTATGTAATAGTAGTAAAGTTGGAAGGGATCTTGGAGGTCATCTAGTCCAACCCCCTGCTCAGGCAGGGAACCCTACACCATTTCGGACAAATGGCTGTCCAGTCTTTTCTTAAAAACTTCCAGTGTTGGAGCATTTACTGCTTCTGGAGGCAGGCTGTTCCACTGATTAATTGTTCTCACTATCAGGAAGTTTCTCCTTAGTTCAAGGTTGCTTCTCTCCTTGATTAGTTTCCACCCGTTGCTTCTTGTCCTGCCTTCAGGTGCTTTGGAAAATAGCTTAATTCCCTCTTCTTTATGGTAGCCCCTGAGATATTGGAATACTGCTATCATGTCCCCCCTTGTCCTTCTCTTCGTTAAACTAGACATACCCAATTCTAGCAACCGTTCCTTATATGTTTTAGCCTCCAGTCCCTTAAATTTGTGCTTATGAAAACAGCTAGCAAAGGTTGCCCATCCCATGGATAAAACACCCAGACACAAACTGAGTGAGGTGATATGTGCAATACAATGCAGTGAGACATGTGCAAGATTTATACATTGGTGAAACAAAGCAACCACTTCACAAGTGCATGGCAGAAGAACAAATGCATCAGGACAAGATTCAGGGGTCCATTGCATTTGAAAAATAAGGGTCACTTATCCCTTATGTTACAAGAAGCCAAGGAATGGTTGCTAGAATTGGGTATGTCTAGTTTAACGAAGAGAAGGACAAGGGGGGACATGATAGCAGTATTCCAATATCTCAGGGGCTGCCATAAAGAAGAGGGAATTAAGCTATTTTCCAAAGCAACTGAAGGCAGGACAAGAAGCAACGGGTGGAAACTAATCAAGGAGAGAAGCAACCTAGAACTAAGGAGAAACTTCCTGACAGTGAGAACAATTAATCAGTGGAACAGCTTGCCTCCAGAAGCAGTAAATGCTCCAACACTGGAAGTTTTTAAGAAGAGACTGGACAGCCATTTGTCCGAAATGGTGTAGGGTTTCCTGCCCGAGCAGGGGGTTGGACTAGATGACCTCCAAGGTCCCTTCCAACTTTACTACTACTACTATTATTATTATTATTATAAAATTGAGGTTTTGGTTTGCCAGAGTGGGTCTTATATTATCAAGCATCTGTATTAACATGGGTAAAAGAATGGATAACTTTGAGAAACAAAAGGTTGTTATATTTGGAGGGACATGATTTACAACTGGGGTGGCACACTTTTTTTATGGTATGGGAAAAATAAAATCCATAAGTACTTTCAAAACCACTATATAAGAAATGCATTATTATTAACATGGGAAAAAATAAAATGTAAAATATATTTGAAAATTCCAGGATGGCTTTCAACAATGGAAACATTTGTACATCCAAATTTAGTTAATTTTGAAAAAATCTGGAGATACAGAGATATTCTAAATTCTGAAGGGAACTTAAAATCTAAACAAGAAATGGAAATCAGGGTATTAATCTATCATGGTGGGCATACTTACAAATGCAAGATGTGAAACTATGGATTTTATAAGGAGCAAACCTTGCTTGATAAGATATTAATAACGTCTGATGAGAAATTAATTAAGAACATTTATAATTTTCTATTAAATTTGAAAGTGGAAAACAAACAAGTTAAAGAAACAATGATAATATGGGCAAATTTTTTTTGGATACAATATAGAATTAGAAAAATGGCAAAACTTGTGGGAAAGAAATTATAAATTGACAATGTCAACTTCTTATAATGAAAACTTATATAAAATGTTTTATAGATGGCACTTGCCACCAGCAAGATTAGCAAAAATGTTTAAAAACATGTCAGATAGGAAGAGTCACTTTTTTGAAGACAGCAAATTCCACATTTTGGATAGAGAGGATGCTGGTTTGAAAGAGGAATCAAAGAGGCCATATATATTAAAAATGAGGAGCCCTCACTTTTAACATAGGGGAGGAATAAGAAATCACCTATCTCTTATCTACAACACAGTCCTTTCAGCAGTTCTAAGAAGATTCCACACCCATTTGCACTCTGATTCAGGTTACCCTGAGGCAGGAGTAGGCAACCTTGGCTCTTTTATGACTTGTGGACTTCAATTCCCAGTTGGCTCAGGAATTCTGGGAGTTGAAGTTCACGAGTCATAAAAGAGGCAAGGTTGCCTACCCCTGCCATGAGGGCACAGATAAACCAGCAAGTGGCCTCAACTGCTCTCAAAGAGAGTGCTGGAGTTGAAGTTCACGAGTCATAAAAGAGGCAAGGTTGCCTACCCCTGCCATGAGGGCACAGATAAACCAGCAAGTGGCCTCAACTGCTCTCAAAGAGAGTGCTAACGACCAGATGACTGCAAGGAATATAAATCCTTCCATTCCCCCCTACCCCATCCTGTCAGAACTAATTCTTCCAAAACCCCCCCCCCCCAATCCTGTCAGAAGTGATGAAGCTTCTCGGATGAGACCGGAAATGTCTTCAAGGGGAAAAAAAAAAACATTTCTTAAGAAAAAAACTTGACTTTTTGAAAAAAGCACTTTTGAGACAACCATGACTTGGATGATTGGGAATCTCCATAGACATTTAGCAGAGATTAAGTAAACAATTACATTAAACCATGGTTTGGTCAAATACAATCGGCTGAGCTCAGACGACACTTAAACCTGAAGTCAAAGAAATTACATTACAGTGTAGTACAGCTTTCCCCAACCTGACATTCTCAAGATAACTAGAAACCGCAGAGCATACAGTGTTATATAACACAGTCAGCCCAAGATATCTTTTTCTCTTGAGGCATTCAAGAGTGGCAGTAGAGAAAGGCTGGTCTAACTCAAACAGATTGTCCTACCGTGAAATCCAACATCATGGTTTTAAAGATGTCATCACGGCGTTCATACAGTATATTTTGAAGATTACTAAAGGGAAAAAAGAATAAAGTGAAACAAACTGTTTCCCCAAAACTAAAATAATTCATTTACTTATGACATGTTAATTTTAACAGAAATTGATTCTTCATAATATTCTTATGCCTTTGGGTTAGTTTTGTCTGTATTCAGTTAAACCAAGACTGTCTGACATCTGGTTCCTAAATGGAGAAAATAAAGAAGACTTTATGTCAAGATCAACTCCTGGAGTTATATTCCTGCAACTTTTTTTGGCAGCATTTCATTCTTCTTTTAAATATCCCGGTCTATCCAACACTTGGATTCTCAAATGTCTTTCATTTAAGTATCAACCAGGTCAGACTTGGCTTAGATTCCAATATCAGCTTGTGTATATCTACAGAAAATGAAATTACTTGATCTGCAATATCAATTACTACTATATGGTTCTGAAGGATAACTTTATGCCGTACCGTCCAAGTGTAGGACAGAGTTCTTTTAAATCTTCCAGCGTCGGCTCAATATTTGCCAATTTCTTGAACAACGCAAGAGGAAAGGGCAAAGCAATTATCTTCCGATTGTAGAGCGCTATTCCAAACAGGTTCCCAATTAAAAAATATATGTCATCCTGGGTTGATACCTAATTTGAAAAATCAATATACAAGTACTGAAAAATACACTGTAGAACAGACATGTAAAACACAAGGCCTGGGGACCGGATGCAGCCCGCAAAGTGGTTTCAGGTGGCCTACGAAGCCATCCTGGAAACAGTGAGGGAACGGCCCCTGCAGCCTTGGCCCTGGCCCAGGCCGGCCGGGAGCCAATGTACAATTTTGTGGGGGCCATCTATGCTGAAACGCATTCAGTCTTAGCTCCACAAGGCCGTCTAGAAACAGCGAGGGACCAGACGCTGCTGCGTCGGCCCCGCCCCCTGGGTGCATGCTGGGGAGGTGTCACCCTTTGTGAGGAATGAAGAAATGGACCATGTCTTGGCGCCTGCCCTGGTCCCATCCCCTTCTGCCAGAGATCCTCAGATCTGTCCCACTTCTGCCCAGACCCCGACAGGCACCCTTGACACGAACACTGTAGAGCTGGCCATGCCCACCCTGGCCACACCCACCTGCCCCCCTGAGGGCAAACGCAATGCTGATGCGGTTCTCAATGATATTGAGTTTGACATCCTTGCTGTAGAGACTGTCCACTTACAAAATAAATGTTGTATTTCTGAGACTTCTAAACTACTTCAAACTCATTTCCCATGACTAGACGTTAGCTAGAAGAGGCTGCCTGCCTATATCCCCTTTCTACACTTTCATCAACACCATCTCTGCTTGCTAGCTTTCTCTCTGGCTGTTCTTTGTTCCTCCAACAATGTGGATCCTATATAGACATATGGACTTTAACCAACACCGAAGGATGGTCAGCCCTTTTATCTATGATATTTCAACAGGGAATGAACCTGAGATCTGTAGCATGCTGAGCAAGTCAGCTGTCCTTAAGCTACAGTTCTTCCTGTACAGGTAGTCTTTGACTTATGACCACAAAATTGAGCCCAAAATTTCTGTTGCTAAGTGTGAATCACTACAGTTGTTAAGTGACTTAACATGGTTATTAAGTGAATCTGGCTTCCCCATTGACTTTGCCTGTCAGAAGGTTGCAAAAAATGATTTACCCTGGGACCCCAGGACACTATGCAACCATCATAAATATGAGTCAGTTGCCAAATGTCTGAATTTTGATCGCATGACCATGGGGATGCTGTAGTGGTCGTTAAGTATGAAAAATGGACATAAGTCACTTTTTTCAATGCTGTTGCAACGGCCACTAAATGAATTTTTATAAGTCAAGGACTACCTGTACTAGGAAACAATGGAAAGCACATGACTCTCGATTCTAAAAAGGAAAGCAAAAGGAGTAAAGGAAACCAATCTCTGAGTAATTTATATGCATGCCCTACTTTCTACCATATTGTTGCTTCATAGTTGTTTTAAAAAGAATAACTTTTCACACCAGAATAAAGATAAAGCTTGATGCAATATCCATGTTACAAGCAGAAACTGTTACGTTTCATCAGATGATCAAATGTAGCCTTTATTGTTAGCCATTTCCTCATTTAATAGAGGAGAAATATATCAACAGCTGTTATTCATGAAAGCTAGATGGACAACAAATTTCCAGGACTACAAATAAATCTCTGCATAGACAATGCCAGAAAGAGGTCAGCTATCATCTCTCATTCCTTTTAGGGGACAATCATGCGCATTTTCTAACCTCTATTGAAAAGTCAATGGTCAAAGAGATGAATTACCTCCAAGGTAATTCCTATTTTTATAGCTAACAGCAGAAAGCATAAATAAATGCAGTACATGGTTATACATACCTCATAAGAGAACCAAATACAATTCGAGTCTTCAAAGTGCTTGAATACTTGTGCTTCTGAACTACACAGTTGTCTGCTGATAATTGTGAAGAATTCCTGGATCAGGCCCCCATACTTGGTCCCAGGTTCTCCTTCAAAATGCACCTGAAGAATTAAGTCAAATTAGCCAGATATTTACACGAATTTAGACTGATAAATTAAATATAAAAATATTTCTGGTTGCTCAGAAATTAGAACATCTTCCACTAGTTCTTTCCTCTGAATTAAAGTTGCAACCCTAAATTATTCAGAAGATCCCTGAAAGTTCCAGCGAAGTCTGTTTCAGAAGGAAAAAAAATGTGCAAATTAAATTGTGACACACCCCTGATCAGAAATCAGTGAAATTCCCAGGAAAAACAAACAGGATTTACTCAATTTATACCTCGCCTTACTAAACAAAAACCAAAACCCACAGCAAAACCAAACAGAGATCCACGTAAAATCTTAGATTTTTCTTTTACTTAGAACACTGTTCTCCAACCCAGACAATTTGAAGATGTGTGGCCTTCAGCACCCAGAATTCCCTAGCTACCGTGCTGCCCGAGGAATTCTGGGAGTTGAAGGCCACACATCTTCAAACTGATAAAGGTTGGAAAACACTGACTTAGAAGGCGCTTGGCTGAGGTAAGTCCACCTAACCTAGTCAGCCAAGTCCAGGCCATCTCGTTCCTCTTCTCCCGAACCGCCCAGCCCATCCACTTCGCATACTCGGGTTCAAGTTCGCCCACGTGTTGCTCCAAGGAGGAAAACCAGCAGACCAAATCCGCACCCGGAACCAAACGCACAGGGCTTAAAAGTACCGGGGTTCGCTTTTCGAGCGTTCTGCTGCCCCGGAAGAAGTTCCCGCACAACCGGTTTCATTTCCTAGCTGGTTCGCTCTTTCCTGCGCTGCGGCGTATCATGCTCGCCCTGCCCGGCCTTCGCCTTCTGAGTCGCCTCCCGCGCCGGGGGCTTCTGCGGGCCAGCCGGGCGGCTTGCGCGGCGGCGGAGAACGGGGGGAAAACCAGCGGCCAAGGACAGCAAGGGCCGCCCTTCGACGCCGGGCTGCTGGAGATCCTCGTGTGTCCCCTGTCGAAAAAGCCGCTCAGGTCGGCCTAACCGCTTTTGCCCTTGTTTTGCTATCCGCCCGTTCTCGTTTGCCCGTCGCGGCTTTTGCCAGGCCGCCCGGTGCGTCGGGCTAAACCCGCTCCCCATGGCCAACACGCATTCCTTGGTAGCAATGGGTTATGTAGTCCAATGCGGCGGCTCCTCGCCGGATGAGAAACTCATCCCCTCCGCCTTTCCCTATTTCAAGTAGTTTGGAGTTGAATTGCTTATGAAGCATAGGTATTTATATGCTTAATAACATATGATTAATAGCTTCATAGAAACTCTTCCCAATAGATACATATCTAGGAGACTTTGGGGATGAGAAGCATCTTATTCCCTTCATCGATCTTCATTTAAAAACTGCCAAATCGTGAAATTATTCAAGTCAGTCATTTAATTCAACAATTACAATTTTTAACAGCTGATGCAGAATAGTCATGGTTATTTTTACAACTGCCACCTCAGAAATCCTTATTAAGATAACATTACATATCTTTTTTTCTTTCTTAGATTGAGTGGTTTCTCCCTCTCCTAATTCCCAATAAAAGAATAGCATTCTACATTTTGGGCTGCTCTGCAGCTTCCCACTGAATGACTTTGTCTATCTATTATTTGACCCACAACTAGGGAATTTATGCCAGTGAATTGAAGACCTGCCCATTCAGGATCCCTCTTGCAGGAAAAGGTTTAACGCTTTTATTTTATGTCCTCAACTTCCAGGTGCTGAGTGTCCCTTCCCCCCCCCCACCTACCATGTGCTACCTTACTATTTATGTATATAGTATATTTCTTAAATCAACAACAGTAAATCTCATGGGTCATTATGTGCTGTATTTTCTAGATATAATGAATCTACAAATGAGTTAATTAATGAAGAACTAGGCATAGCGTACCCCATCATAGATGGCATTCCTAATATGATACCTCAGGCGGCAAGAATGATTGGCAAGGAGAAGCAGGAAACAGAATCTGAACAAACCTAGAAGATTATCTTCTTGAAAGGAAGTTGGAAGACAATTGGAGTAAGATGTTTCCCTCGTTTCCTACCATGACTGTTCTTGTCCCACTGTTGTCTTTAGCTGGTCTCTTCTATTCAGCCAGTGTGGATGAAAACTTCCCCCAGGGCTGCACAAGTACAACCAGCATCTGTTTCTACAGTCTGCTGCTTCCAATTACAATCCCAGTTTATGTATTTTTCCATCTCTGGACTTGGATGGGCCTTAAACTTTTTCGCCACAATTAGATTTTGCTTAACTCTTAAGAAGGCCCTTAAAATAAAGAATGGAGTGAAGCTTTTTTGAAAACCAATTTCTAATATTCTGAACCATAAACTACACCTGAAATGATCTTTTGAAACAAGTATATCCAAGCAAATTGAAAAAGCACTTGCTTTTTAGGGCATGCCTACAGTACCAAAAACAAATATAGCAAGCAATATGAAGTGATGCAGGCAAATCTTATCTCAACAAAGGATCTTAGGCATGCAGCAAGGCAATCTAGATGTGTATTTAGAAAATATCATTTTTCTAGTCTTTGGTGAAAAAAAATTCTGTACAGTTATTCTGAAAGTCAATTCTGTACAGTTATTCTGAAAGACAGGTTTATTACCTGATGATTGCAGGCAATTATTTATATACGTTGTGAGTGCAAAATAGTGCTTTATCAAATTTATAGATGAAAAGCTTTGAATGTGTAACATGATCACAGGTATACTATATAGAGAGGTTTTGGCTTACTGATGATGTAATGTTAGCTTTGATGCCTATTTGATTAAACTACACTGCTGTTCTGCACAGACCCAGAACTTTGAATTCAGCTCCACAAATAAATTAGAGTGTTGTGCTATGAAACTTAACACTAAATGAAAAATAATGGAATTGAATAGGAAATTGTTTCCAATAAAGCACCTGCAGTGCCTATGTATTTTATATACTTAACTGCTGTATTTTTAAATATGCCGTGGAGTCTTTTTTAAAAGCGCACAATATTTCTATTCAGATTTTATAAGGAAAGTATCTAAATGATGTATCAACCAGAATTACTCCAACATTGCAGTTGGTTGCATGTCAAAATGAGCCTCTAGATCGGGGATCCCCAACCCACGGTCCGTGGGCCAGTATCGGGCCATGGCATGCCAGCAACAAATCCACACAAACAAGGAAAGCCCCATCCACAGGATGCAGGCCGCACAGAAAACCATGCCCCCTCCCGGTCCACGGAAAAACCTCTCTCCACGTAACTGATCTGTGGTGCCCAAAAGATTGGGGACCTCTGTTCTAGATTGTTACTTCTCAGCTGAGACGTAAATGCCTGCCAGTCTCTTACAACATTTCTGTCACATAATTATAGCTTGATTATAAATATACAAAATTGGATACTTACTCTAAAAAAATGCTGAAAGCAACTTTCTTCTGCACTTCTTAGATAGTGCCAGGTATCCTGTAATAGATATTGCCTCCTTATCGTCATTGTAGAGGTTACAATGTTTTTCTAGGATACAAACACTGGGTTACAAGTCATTTCAGCAAATTTTGTTAAATTTTGCATTATGTTCCTGGGTATACATACCTCTGTGTATTTCTGGTGCAATAGTGTACACTTTACTTGATGCATCAGAATTTTATCTTTAAGATTCAATATCAAAGGAAAGTTGCAGAACTCTGATAAAGCCAGCTGAAATAACAAGGGAGGATTTTTTTATGATTTAAGACATGTACATTTTAAAGCTGACTTACTATAAACCAAAACCCAACTAATCATGTTATCATACAGAATAAAAACCACTGAATCCAGCCCACAGTAAAGGCAACCATTTTAATAGAAAAAAATATCTGTAGCTCAGAGTTGAGCTGTGGAATTCTTGGTGCTCTCTGATCTAACTTAATTCTTTGCTCACAGATGTTTCATTATCCAACTACATGACATCAGTGCAAATATGTGGGGTTTATTTCTTGCTTATATGAGCCTACCCTGCCAGTTTGGGTGAGGGTGTGTTTTTCTCTTTGGTAATTTCTTGATTACAATGTTGTTTTCTGCCTGATTGGTGTTAATCCCTGCTTAAAAGCATGCATTTTAGAAAGATCCCACCATTATCTAGCTTAGGGATCTTCAAACTCGGCCCTTTTATGACTCATGGATGTCAACTCCCAGAATTCCTCAGCCAGCGTGCCTGGTTGAGGAATTCTGGGAATTGAAGTCCATGAGTCATAAAAGGACCGGGTTTGAAGACCCCTGATCTAGCACAATAGGCACAGACCATGCCATTCTAAAACTTCCATGTTCGGTCCACAGTATCGATATAAAATGGCCAGGAAAGAATGGCTCCATATTTATTTTAAGATACACCCAGCAAAACACTTCCCTGTCTGTTAGAAATGAATAAAAAAGGGATATTTGACCAGAAGAAATATAAACTTAATGAAATAATTTCTATACAACTCACCCTTATATCAGAATATGTTGGGTCCCACAGTAAATTGAACTGCTCAGAAAAACCAACCCCCCCCCCAAAAAAATTAGTTAACTACATTGCAATCATGCTTAAAGAACTGACCCTTTGCTGGAATAACTACCAATCCTCCCGAGAGCTATTCTATGCAAAAATTTCCACTACAGTCACATAAATAGGCACATTTACTTTCTATTCAGAGTGGCATTTTAAAATAGTTCACTGATACAGGTGCAATAGGGAAATCAATCAGAAGTCTAAATTGCACCTCAGTCTTGTGGTTTTATGTCTCCACGTTTAGATCTTGTGAGAAGATGGAGAGAAGAGAATTAGAATTTCTTCCTTATGTATACTGTACCAGTGGTGTCAAAGTCAGTTAGCAATGTAGGCCACTAAATAATACCTTATGATCCCTGCAGACCTAATAGTCATATTACTTTTTAAAAATTAATACATCAACACAATAATCAGGAGCTAGGCATAACTAGTACATTAAAAATATATGATTTTCAGTGTTTATGTGTACAAACATGACCAGAAAAGTCGTAAAATGGGGCAAAACTCACTTAACAAATTTCTCACTTAGGGTCGTAAGTCAAGGACTACTTGTATTCATATAGGTAGTTCTTGACTTACAGCCATTTGTTTAGTGACCGTTCAAAGTTACACTGGAACTTTGACCATTTTTCACACTTCAGACCAATGAAATGTAAAAGGGTCATGTCATTTTATTTGAAGAACTGCTCCTAGTCTATTGGCTAATATCAAAAACTTAACCCAAAGCTATTATCCAGTTTAATGCTATTCTACCATTTTCAGATACCTTTTATATTGGAAGCAACATATTTTTTAATGTGAAAACCACCCAAAATCATCAGAATTCAGGCAAGTCTAAATTTAAAATAAAACAAACAAATAAGCACTTACACAGTAGGAAAATGCGAAGTCATTCCAATTTAAAAGAATTTTGCTTACTTCGGGTACATAAAAATTACTTTCCTGAATTTTGAAGTCAGACCTGCAATTTACCTGCATTTATAAACAGGATTAAAGCAGAAGTTAATCTAGGGGCAAGATAATCAGTTAAAATACAAGCCAAAACAAATTTGGCACTTGTCAATCCGGCATTTCCACCTAATTTTAATATAAAAACAAATACACAGATATTTTAGAAGGTTTTTCCTAGGGTGTTCCCAAGAGATGGGTAACTTTTAAGAATCCTTTTTCCAAATCCACAAAGGTTATTCTTAAGAAAATCAGTCCCTAAACAGAACTTTTCCAAAGGACTTCAGATTTCACATTCATAATGCAAAACACAAGAAAAAAAACAACGAATTACTTTGAACTATGGACCAAAGGGATTCAAGCTCTCTCACTTTTCAAGGATATATTTTTGTTCTGCTTCTGTAAAGAGTGCTCTTGTACTTTTGGTGCAACCCAATCAAAATGCAAAACGAATGGCAAAATAACGGGGGTGTGACAAGGGGTCGACACTGAGGTGCTGATCTGCATGGGGAGATAGGGCAGAAGGCAGGGGATAAACCATCTTGGGGGAAGAAGACCCAATGGCTAACACCAATGTCATTTTCCAACCGCTTGTGTACAACCCAAAGCTTGGTTTCAGAAGCCTTGGAGGCCCTGTATTCTGGCAATTGCTGCTTAATGCCAGATTGTCCAGCAATAAAGTTCACCTTAACTGAAGCCTGAGAAACGGGCCTCTTGTCAGCGTATTGATTTACCACCAAGGGCAAGGCACAAGGAAACAACAACTAAGGACCTAATAGCAGCAATCAACACCCTAATTAACAACTAAAACCCACACCCAACAAGGCACCTTATAAATACAACATGTTACGTATAAGCTGGGTTGACAAGATCAGAAATGAAGTGATAAGCCACCTGGGAAAGCCAAGGGAAATAAAACAATTAAAAAACGAAAATTAGAATATTTTGGACATGTGATGCGACACCCAGAAAAATACGGCATACTCCATTTAATCCTCCAGGGAAAGATTGAAGGCAAATGAGGTCCAGGCAGAAGAAGAACATCGTGGCTTCAAAATCTAAGGGACTGGTTTGGACAAAACTCAGCAGCACTTTTTCGTGCGGCTGCTGATAAAAACAGGATCGCTAACATGCGATAACTGATATGGAAGAATAAGAAGAGGAAGAAGGAGGAGGAGAAGGAGATGATGCAGATGATGCACACATTCTGGAGAGAGAGAGAGAGAGAGAAGTCCGAAGCCGGAAAGCCTAGAAAAATAAACCTAATGGTGACCATCTCAGATTGGATCCTACAATACGTATATATTTGCTTTCATTTGCAAAGCTCACCTCATTCACAATCTAATCTGATCATAGATAAGAGAGCTGAGATCTAGTTAGGCACAGAGGAAGCTCTTCCTCTCTCAGAAATGTGCCCTGCTGGTTTTCAAGTGTGGCACTAGCTACGCCTTTGTGGCAGGGGTGATAGGGTGGCTATCATTATAATTCAGGAGTCTCTGATTGTCCTTGGGGGCACTGCCCTAGAGCCAGATATGATACTCTGTTTGTGGAGTTGGGTTGCAGAGATCAGTGAGGCTTGCAACTTGTTCACCTTCCTCCCCGGGCACTGGCAGAGGCCTACCAAAATTCCTGGACTCCACGGAGGAGTTCTCTAGGTTTATGGTTCTGGGGGACTTCAGTCTGCCTTCTCTGGACCTGGAGTCAGAGATCACCCAGGGGTAGGCAACCTCAGCTCTTTTATGACTCATGGACTTCAACTCCCAGAATTGATGGCCCAACTCAAAGGAGGTCAAACATTGAATCTGGTCTTCGTCTTAAGGGATGGGAAAGTGATCTGGGGATTAGAGGATGTTAACATCTCCTTTTTGGCCATGAAGTTCTCTGCAGCTGCCCCCCCGCCACAGGGAGGTTAGGCCTATTTAATTGGTCCACCCTAGTTGACTGATAGATTCAGTAGGGTTTCAAAGAGAGCTTGCGGTTATTCCTGAAGCCCTGGTACCTGAATTGGCTGAGGCTTCAATTGTGGCCTGGCATGGGCAGGCAATGAGAGCCTTGGATCAGACAGTGACTGTGGAGACTCTGTGTTCATGAATCCCATAGGGCAGTGATGGTGAGTGCCTTTTAGAGACTGAGTGCCCAAAACCTGCCTCCCGCCCCCGCTCCACCCTGCCTACTCCGCCCCCACCCTTCCCCACCCACCCCCTGCCCCACCTGCGTGCAGGGCCATCCACTGCCTCCATGGCCCACAGATTGCCCAGGCAGCCTGCAGCGCCATGGCAGCCATGCCCTCCGCCCACATCCCACAACATCATCTGCGCATGACGGGGTGCGAGGGTGAAGTCTTGTCCCTGCTGCCCAGTTGTCATGTCCTTGGCTGCGTTGCTCCGTGCGGGCTGTGCCCAGGGGTGACTTTCCTCCGGAGGGGCTGCTGATGAGGGGGCCGCGGGTGGAGGTGGGGCTGGGGCGACAGCACGTGTGCCCACAGAAAGGGCTCCGAGTGCCACCTCTGGCACGCGTGCCATAGGTTTACCACCACTGTCATAGGGCCCTGTGCATAACATTAGGAGCTAGCTTCTTATAATTTCTGCACTCCAGATTATTATTGATTTATTTTACAGCAATATGGATGCCTAGGCTAGGACTCAATTAAGGTTAAGTCACTGGATGCCTGGTAGTACTTGGTGATCCAAGTACTTCATCCTGAGCCAATTCACAGTAAAAGCGGGTTTATGAGCTTTCAGCATTTTAAGCAGTATCTTACTGACTTTGGGAATATTCAAACCAGTCAATTCACATCATGCTGTGGCAGCCTCTATTGGGAATGAAGACATAATATTTTGCACTCATGCTGATCAGTGATTTTGTGATTGCTGATATAAGTAAGAGTATTGCTCTAGAATAGATCAACAGTGGGCAATTCCCGTTTTTGGTTAAGGGCCGTGTTTACTCAAGGCCAATCTATCCATGACTGAAAGCCACTATTTAACAAAAATCAAAGCCAGTTAAAAAGAGATATGTGTGTGTCATCATTTCTTTAGGTGTGTGTTGTATATATAAGTTTTTTTTCTCTTCATGTTAATTGTACTGCTGTAATACAATGATAGAAAGGAAAATGTACAAAGTACCAAAACACACACAAAAAGTGTGTGTGTGTGTGGGGGGGAGATAAATGAAACTAAAGAACAAAACTCACTATTCAAACTGAATGTTGTGGAAAAAAAACCACAATAACATTACTATTTTCAGTCCAAGTTTGTTTCTTACCTGATAAAGCATTTGGAAGACCTTAAGAAGTGTAGTGTAGTCATTTTTCTTTAAATACGAACTACTGTGGTGGTTATAATACGAAAATATATTAACACCAATAAGCCTTTGAAACATGGACACCAGATCCTTAAAGAAGTTGACTTCCAGATTGGACCAGAGAGTCTCTGAAAAAAGAGCAGACAATCCACGAACACAATGAGAACATTTTCCTTTATCTTAACTCCGATTCGCAATGGGATACACTGTAACTATTGCTACTGGATAAGGCTAGAATCTGGGCTGATTAAAATTGAAACAAAAACCTGGGAAGCCATATTTAATTACAGATTCAAAATCATTTATCAGGCCATTGGGCTGCTTCGTTTTGTTTCAGGTGATACCTGTAAATCTTCCTGGAAGAAATTCCTTAAGCAAAAACTACAATTGCCCAACAACTCTCAGAAACAATGTAATCTAAACCAATTACCCAGGTTCTTGAAGACCATCAAAAAATAGTTCATGGGAAAGGTACAGGTAGTCCTCGGCTTACAACAGTTCACTTAGTGATCATTCAAATTTACATCACTGAAAAAAGTGACTTATGACCATCTTTCACACTTGTGACGGTTGCAGCATTCCCATGGTCACGTGATCAAATTCAGACTCATATTTATGATGGTTACAGTCTCCCGGGGTCATGTGGCCACCTTTTGCACCTTTCTGATGAGCAAAGTCAACGGGGAAACCAGATTCACTTAACAACCGTGTTACTAATTTAACACCTGCAGTGAGTCACTTAACAACTGTGGCAAGAAAGATTGTAATATGGGGCAAAACTCACTTAACAAATGTCTTGTGTAGCAACTTAAATTTTGGGCTCAATTGTGGTCACAAGTCAAGGATTACCTGTGCTTGGATGGGTTTCCTATCTTGATGCATTTGAAGCATCAAATACTGCTTGGTCTTATTACTGTAATGCCATCCCCTATGCACCATTACAAGGCAGACAATGTACAAGTATTCCTCAACTTACAACCACAACTGAGCCCAAAATTTCTGTTGTTCAGCAAGACATTTGTTAAGTGAGTTTTGCTCCATTTTATAACTTTTCTTGTCACGGTTGCTAAGTGAATCATCACAGAAGTTAAATTAATAACCAAGTTGTTAAGTGAATCCGGCTTCCCCATTGACTTTGTCAAAAAGTTAAATAAAAGTGATCACAGGATATCGCAACCGTCATAAATACGAACCAGTTGCCAAGGATCTGAATTTTGATCACGTGACCATGGGGATGCTATAATGGTTGTTAAGTATAAAAAAAATGGTCCTAGGTCACCTTTTTCGGTGCCGTTGTAACTTTGAATGGTCACTAAATGAACTGTCGAGGAACTATCTGTAATGATTCCTTAATAACATGTGATTAATTCCAGGGCCTTTTGTAGTTAAGTTTTGTTATTTAACTTCAGATGTACAGTAAAAGATCCACCAAGAATAACAAACTTCAATGCTAGTCTCTCTCTCTCTCTCTCTCTCTCTCTCTCTCTCTCTCTCTCTCTCTCTCTCTCTCTCTCTCTCTCTCTCTCAAAGCAACCATTAAAACAAGAAAACATACAAATAAATAAGAGAGAGAGCATTTAAAAGATTCACATATAATGAAGCCATCTTACAGGCTCCCTATTTCCAAGAGATCACTAGGACTGCCGGACAAATCACATATTGAGGGATTTCTGGGAGGTTACTGGGGGTCAGAGCTAGTCACACTGTGGGAAGAATGGGGTAATGTTCCGAAGGACGGGTGCCATAACATAAAAGGCCCATGTCTTGGGTCCCATCAGATGTAACTCCTTAATAGATGGGGTCTGCAATATGCCCTTCCTGGCTGGCCTGATAGGATGGGCAGATGTAATTGTGAAGAGATGATTTCCTCAAATAGTTTGATACTTCTCTGGAAGTTTGAAATTTCAGCGAAATTAGCAAATGAATGCCTGCCTTACCTAGGGCTTGCTTGCCTTGTTGTGGGAGGTTCCAGAGTGCTTCTGCCAGTTGGCAAAGGAGATGATCCGAATCGAAATCTTGCTTTTGTAAAAGTACAGGCACAATGAGGAAGAACCTGAGTGCTTCTGGCGAGGTTGGAGAGTAAAGGGGACAATCCAGAAGGCTCTTCAGAGCCTTTTTCACCTTTGAAGAGAAGAATGGAAGAAGAATGTGTGCATTTAATTCATTTCTTGAGCCCAGTTTTCCTTCTTGCTTCCCTATATGAAATATTTGAGCACATGATCAAACTAGCCTTGTATCAAGCTAACCTTGTAGTGCGGCCGGAACAATCTTGAACTAAACACACTCAAAACTGTAGAAGTGATAGTAGATTTTAGGAGAAACCCTAAAATCTACCACGTCTTACAATACTAGACAACACAGTATCAACAATAGAGACCTTCAAGTTACTAGGTTCTATAGTATCTCAAGACTTAAAGTGGTCACCTAACATTAAAATGTCATCAAAAAAAGCACAGCAAAGAATGTTCTTTCTGTGCCAACTCAGAAAGCTCAGATGCCCAAGGAGCTGTTGATACAGTTCTACAGAGGAATTATTGAGTCTGTCATCTGCTCCTCTATAACTGTCTGGCTTGGCTCTGCAACCAAACAAGACAGACACAGACTTCAATGGATAGTTAGGACTGCAGAAAAAACAATTGCTACCAGCCTGCCTTCCATTGAGGACCTGTATACTGCCCGAGTCAAAAAGAAGGCTGTGAAAATATCTACAGACCCCTCACATCTTGGACATAAATTGTTTCAACTTCTACCCTCCAAACGACACTATAGGACACTGCACATCAGGACAACTAGACACAAGGACAATGTTTCCCACATGCCATCACTCTGCTAAACAACTAATTCCCACAACACTGTCAAACTATTTAGTAAGACTGTATTACTATTATTTTTCTCATTTTTCCTATTACTTATCTCCTTATAACTTTGTTGCTTGTATCTTACAATTCATATTGTTTTATTTCGTTCCTAGTATGATTTATGTTGATTGCTTATTTAATATCCTATGACTATCACTAAGTGTTGTATCTTATGATTTATGATGAATGTATTTTACCATGACTATGATGATTTATCACTTATAGCTTTTATGTACAATGAGAGCTTATGCACTGAAGAAAAATTCCTTGTGTGTCCAATCACACCTGGCCAATAAAGAATTCTATCTATCTATAAGATTCCTTCCTACTCTTTATTGACTTTTCTTATAGTAAATGCATGGGACAAAACATGGTATAGTACTGAACACAGCACAAAGTCTACTGTGGAGAACCAGAGAGGAAGTATTTGAATTGTAAGTCAAGGACTCAGACTAAGAGTTATTGTTAGAGACTTCTCTAAGTTCTGCATTTGTTTTTTCATTTTCAATCATGGGAGGCATCTTATGTAACATGTATGCCATGAAACATATTCTGCAATGCACATGAATTGACAGCATAATCTAGAACAGCTCTTCTCCAACCGTCGTTTTCAAGGTGTGCTGGGATTGCAAGCTCCATTAAGAGCCTCTGTCTTCAGGATCATTAAGAATTTGAATGCTTATTCTTGCATTGGATTTGTTTTCCCCAAGAACCAGTTTGACCAGAACCAGATAATTAAAGAGACTAACCATGCCTTGCATTATAGTCTATATCAGGGGTTCTCAACCTATGGGTCACGACCCCATTTGGGGTCGATCGACCATTTCACGGGGGTTGCCAAGCAAGGCTGTCCGCCATTTTTTTTCCCTTTTCCGGCGGGTGCCTTACTTCCCTTGGGCTGGGCCAGCTGGTGGCCCAGCCGGTGGTCGGCCTGCTCCGTCTCTGCCGCTTGCCAGCTATGCCTCAGCCGGCGCAGGGGGCGGCACCACGCATGTGCGGCGCTCCCGGACAGGGAAAGTCCTCGACTTACAACCGGTTTAGTCCTCGACTTACGACTGGTTGGGGGTCGCGGCATTAAAAAGGTTGAGAACCACTGGTCTATATTTTCATTATATTACCCTGCTGCGTAGGCATTCATGGGAGGCAAAAGACAAAATGAGATTTATGTTGTCACCACACAAATGCCATGAGCTAGCTAGCCTCATCAGACTTGGGATGCAAGTGTATAATGGAGGTATTTGTACTATGCACTTGTTTTTGGTGACACTTTAGTTTGCTGTAGATGGACACCATGGTGCTGGTGTAGTCTATTAACTGGTTCCTAAACATTCTCAGCAGCCTAATTTAGCTGCTAAAAATGTTCATCATTTGTTTCGTCTATGAAGCAGATGCAGAATTTTTTTAAAGAAGTTACTGCAAAATAAGTTAGGCCCATAGCTTGAGGTTGACATTCCTTCTCTGGAACATATTTATTCCAATTGTTCCAAGAAGGTGAAGCAATTTATTGGAAATTAACCCTCTGAATTGAGATTAATTTATGGTGTTCCAAATAAAACATACTTGTTTTAAGCTAACCAAGTTCAGGAGGAAGAAAAAAATGTTCAATTTTGTTATTTGTAGCACTTTATTAAACAAATACGTTAAATGTTTTTCCAGCAATTATTAATTGATCCTCTAGGTAAAATAATTGCTGGCCTTGAATAAACCCTGCATTCTGCTGCAACCATAAATTACAAGGGCAATCTTGGTATAAAAGGCTTTCTTATAAGCTTCTCAGCCCACTCAGAATTATTTACTTGGGTTTGACTCCCCCTAGAGAAACACCAGGAAATAGCCTATTATATTCTATATGTGAAATCTTAATGGCATGTTATACCTTTGTGAAGACTTTAGGCTTACTGGCAATCTTCTCAAAGAAAAGAAGAACAGCTGACATATCAACACCAACAGTCTCCTCAAATGTTCTGAATTTTTCCTCCCTGCAGGAAAGATAAGGATCAATTACCATCATAGTCTCTTCTCTACCTACCTGGAAATTTGTACATTGTGAAAAATTTGGATTAGATTTGGGTATGAAGGTTACTCTGTTGATCGCAAGATTGTAGCGATAGACCCTTTTATAATAATTAGCATGGTCCTCAAGATTGATAGCAATAGCATTCAGACTTATATACCGCTTCATAGTGCTTTACAGCCCGCTCTAAGCTGTTTACAGAGTCAGCATATTGCCCCAACAATCTGGGTCCTCATTTTACCGATCTTGGAAGGATGGAAGGCTGAGTCAACATCAAGCTGATCAGAATCGAATTGCTGGCAGTCAGCAGAATTAGCCTGCAATACTGCATTCTAAACACTGCACCACCCCTTGATAAATACACCTCCTTCTCAGTTTTGCTCTATGTCTGTGGTGGCGAACCTATGGCACGGATGCCAGAGGCGGCACTCAGAGCCCTCTCTGTGAGCATGCGTGCCGTCGCCCCAGTCTAGGCCTTCAGCTGGGTTTTATAAAACCTTTTCGCTTTAGGCCTCCGCCGCTGTGTGCAAAAAAAAAAAAAAAGGGTCAATCAATCAGTTAATTTCAACTTCTCGTGGGAAAAAAAAAGATCTTGCAAAGTTGGAATTGATTGATTGAACTTTTTAGTCCCACCCAGTCTGCCATTACCACCGCAGCCATGCCCACCCAATGGGCCACACCCACCCAATGGGCCATGTCCACCTGGCACCCGACAATGCATAAGTGGGTTTTGGGCTGCAGTTTGGGCACTTGGTCTCTAAAAGGTTCACCGTCACTGCTCTATGTTAAGCATGTCTTCCTTAATTTATAATAACAGTTAGAAAATATATCAGTTGTTTGATGGATGCAAATGACCTCTGGTGTAGAAAACTGCCATTGATGCAAGCTGATGATGAGAAGATCAATGTAATATTCCTGTTTATGGAAAAGAAACACAAGCAGTGTTTTTTATTAGTTTGATTTCAGAACTGAGCTGGATTCACAACTAAGACAAAATGGACAAGAATCTTTGTTTATAACACTATCTAGTTCGTTTTGGAAATGAATTTTGTACTACATTTTGTCCCTTGAAGAAAGTCATATAGTACTGAAATCTTTGTAATAAAAGGACAAGAGAGAAAAGACAACAGCAGGACCACGTCTATCACATTCTTTACTATAGGACAAACATAAAAGGCCTTTTCTTCCATCAAAAGCCCTAAAGTTACTTGCTGGAATCAATAGACCCAGGAATCCAGTAGGCAGAAGTTACCATTTTGCTGGTAAAATAATGTCAAAGTCTATAATACCTTCTACAGTTTAGAATCTTTTAGATATATTGTGAACGCCTTAGTTAGGTGCAGAGAATGGCTCTCGGTTCAGACAATAAAGAAGACATTACTTTTAGGAAATTAAAAATGGAAAGAGAAATATTTAATGCTCTTTGAAGGTGGTTGGTTTAGACTGCAATCCATGTGGCCCAATAGTTATAAGGAGGTGGTGACAAGTATTGTTGTTTCTGTTTGACATATCTATTGGGAAGTTGTTTGATTTGATCTTCACATACATTTGTGTGCTCTCTGAAATACTTATTTCAAAAAGAAACAGTGTAATGTACGGATGTACTTATGTACCTATTCTTATATAAAGTATATTGGTGGCTTTTAGGCTAGAATTAAGGACCAATGACTCTAGTTTAAATTATAGACTCCCTAAAGAATCCCTAAAGGGAGACTAATATGACTAAATAGGGAAACACACCAGTCTATTTTCCATTGACCAGATATTGCCCAGTTGCATTTGATTCTAGATTTATAAGATTATTTTACAAATGCTAACTTATGACAGAGAAGTAGTCCTCATTTAATGACCACACATTCAGCAACAGTTATGATGGTGCTGAACAAGGGGGACTTACAGCCTCATAGCTACGGCTATTGCAGGGTCCATCTGTGGCTTTCATTGCTGACATGTATCAAGCAAGTCAATGGGGAAGCCAGCAGGAGCTCACAAATGATGAAAATGTGATTGCAAGAAGCTGCATCCACATGGGGTTTAAGTAATGATAGCAACTGGATTGCTGGAACAGCTGTCATACGTCAATGCGGTCACATGCCATTGCATTATATGACTATATTACTTAACAATGGAGTTCCCAATCCCAATTACTGTTGATAAGTGAGGACTGTCTATTTGTTTGCAGCAATTGTGGAAATCAGATTAGCTGTGGTGGTATTTACCATTGTATATTATTCCAGCAGCTGGGATCCGAATTGGACAACCACTTAGCAAACTTTTCCTCCTCCACTGTGGCCAGTGTTTGCATTACATTAGCGTATGCATTCTGCAAAAAAAAAAAAAAAAAAAGGTAAAAATGTATTTTCACATATCTGGTACAATGTATATGGCTTTATGTTTAAACTACAGATCAGGAGAAGCGGTACATAAAGGTACTTTCTCTAATGCAGAGAATAGAATTATAAAAATATTGAAACTATTGCATGAGCAACCCATAAAGAGCAAAGTTGATTTTCAAGTATATATATATATATGTATGTATGTATGTATGTATGTATATGTATATGTGTGTGTGTGTGTGTGTGTGTGTGTGTGTGTGTGTGTATGTAGGTCTTTGGTTATTCGGGTTTTCTCCCGTGTCAAATTGGGAGTGTCTTGGTGACGTTTCGACAAAGTCTCATTCGTCATCTTCAGGCTGGTGTTTTCGGCTTCGTGCTTCTAGGAGCAACGACATTGCAAAACCAGCCAGTATTATAAAAAGGGACTCCCATTGACCCACTTTTATGCTCTGATGATGTCGGTAGTGGTGACTGACGAAAGCTCAGCATTTTATTAATGATTTTTAGTTTGATTTTATCCTGGTGTTCGTATTTGTTTGTTTTTTACTACATGGCTTTACCCAGGATTCGAATTTTTAATGAAATTATATATATATATAGAATGCTGTATGTTACACCCTGTTGCCCAAATATGGGAGAGAGAAATCTTTTGCCTTGTATCAGCTCAAACTAGAGCCATCCACAGGCAGCAGTCACAACTGTGACATCATATATTTCATTATATATACACATACACGCACACACACACAAACACATTATTTGTTTGGCCTTTTAAGAAATCAATTTTTAGCGGAATGAAAATTACCTTCCCTCAAGTTGTATAAAATATATCAGGAAAAAGAAATTCAGGTTGTACATCTATTAATGTGGTGTTTCAATATATAATTTGGATCATACATGGATCCATGTATAATTTGGATCTCTCTTAGATACTAGAAGTTGCCTGATTATATTAACAACAATAGCTTGTTAATATAATAGCAGGTGACAAGCTATGTCTTTTCTGCTCTACTTCAATTCAGAAGTACAAACACAACCTTTTATTAAAATCGCAATTTATATATGGAGCCCTAAATACTATATTACTTTTTAAAAACAGAGATTAGTGGAAAAAGAGTGATCAGTAGATGACAACCCTTGCCTGACACTGCTTGGATTTGGAAAAAAATTAAATTGGTTAATATCTGGATAGGAAATGACTAGAAAATACAAATTACTATAGACTAGATTCGTGTTTCTCAACCTCAGCTACTTTAAGAAGTGTGGACTTCAATTCCCAGAATGGCTAGCTGGGGAATTCTGGGAATTGAAGTCTAAGTATCTTAAAGTGACCAAGGCTGAGAAATACCAGATTAGACTGTCAACTTGAAAAAAATATTAAGGAAGAAAACCAGGATGAATCGTGTCTTAAGATTACCCTAAATCTAAAGTCTAATTGTATTCACCTGTTCCTAACACATCAAACTTGGCTCAACAATATTGTTATCTTTCTATTGGTAAAGGATAAAATGTGATTGAGACAAGTATTTACTAACTGTCTGAATAGTCACTGAATAACCAATAAAATATTTTGGAACAATAATCCATGTCATGAAATGATGCAGCATTTAGGCTTATCATGTGAATGAAATAGAGCATTTTTTCAAAGCTTTAGGCAAGCCCTGTTTGACTCATGACAAGGCCAATTCTGGAATGAATTTTGTTTTACAAAAATTAGAAGTCAAATGTTGGCATTTTGTGTTAAAAATTATATATGTTTGTTGGCAAGTTCCCCATTTGATTACCTTTTCTTCCAGATGAAGCACAATACTTTGGTTGTCTCCAGCAATGATTTTAACTACCTTGCCCAAGGTACTTCCTTTAGTAAGAGACAGAAAAAAGAGTGACTCCTTTAAGATTAAGAAAGATTTCTATCTAGAATCCAGTTAGTAGAGCTTTGACTAAGGACACTTACAGTGCAAGCTACTCAACAAACAGAAACTTCTCAATATCTCATCAGAATCAATCACTGCATGTTAAGAATCAACTCAGCACACTGAAATAGAATCAGCTGCTATAATCAGATACTTATTTGAGAACACACATGCTATCAAATCAGGATTGTCTATTTAGGACAACATAATTATAACCACAAGCCAATATCCCACTCCAATTTTGTTCTCTGACACAGCCTTTATTTGTGTCTTGGTCCACATTTTTCTCTGCTAGCCACATCTCTCTGTATGCATCCAGATTTTTATTTTAATCTGAAAATAATTTTCAGCCTTAGGATTTAGCTTGTAGTTTGCATACAACATTCCACTTGAAAAATTGAGTGACTTACTGTACTTCATGTGTTTATTACAAACAGCCAGATCAAGAGGAAGGGGAACCAGCTGGTCACTTATTCTTCCTTCTCCAAGTTGCCCTTCTCCTCCATAGCCAAATGCATATACTTCCCCAAGTGCCGGGACATAAACCAAAGTGTGCCATCTGTTTGCAGAATCAAAGATAGTTCATAGGTAGAAGTTTTATTCACCTCATCAGGCCTTTATAAACTGAGACGATATTATGACCATTGACCACAACATGTTCTTGTTCTGTTGTTTCTTTACAACTCTCAAGCAATAGCTTTTGATTAGCAACAGCCCTTAATCTGGGGACCAAACAGAGTCCTGTTCCATTTTTTGGTTTGCAGAATTTTTATGTCTTGATTCTGAAATGGTTATTAGATTTGCCTTTATAATATTTCTCTTTGCAATTGTTTTGATCTGCCTTCCCTGCATTTTTATTTACTGATTCATATTCAGGTTGAGCTCTTTGAAAATCTTGAATAAAAGAGTCAATTCTCTATTGCCAGATTTTAGCACTGAATATCACCAACCTATTTTTTAAAAAAACCTCAGATGCCTTGCCAGTGATGAGACATAGCTTGCTTTCCATTTTTCATATATTCCATTTTGCAGTATTCAAAATATATAGGCAAGATAATATCTAGTCACTCAATACAGCACACATATAAAAAAACCATACATCCTTCACCTACAGAGTTCCATCTACCCTACCCCAAGGCCTGGGAGAAGGCCAGCCAGGTCTTCAAGGCCTTCTTCAGGATGGGAGCCACACCGATCTCAAGAAGAATCTAATTCCAGAGAAATGACCTGGATTCCCCCTAGATGGCATTGTTTCACTGAAAGGACCTGGAGCTCACTGACTCTGTTGGTTCATGGTGGATGGGCAGAAAGTATGGAAGATAGGCAGTCCTTCAAGTAACCTAGGGCCTCTGCTATGTAGGTTTTTTAGGTAATAAACAGCATCTTGAATTGAACCTAGAACAATAATGGCACCACTACAATTCATGAAGCAAAGGTGTCAGTTAGACAAGCTGAAGCGTCACTTCAGCTGCTGTAATCTGGACCAGTTGAAGCTTCCAGTTGGTCTTCAAAGGCAGCCACTAGCACCTTTAATGTGGGGTCCTTGGTGCTCTCTGAGCTTGCTTGTTTTCTTGCAGACGTTTCATTACCCTAACTAGATAACATCATCAATGCTAGTAAGGAGTGCTGTTTGCTGTCAGTTTATATTCTGGTGTCTTGCTTGTCTGTGTGAGTGAGGGCGGTCTTAGGGATTCTTTTGTTGAGCTGTTTACTAATGGCTCTTTGGCAGTTTCTTGATTGTTGGTCTGAAGTTGACCTTGGAGTTAATCTATGTAATACCCCAATCAAGAAGCTGTCAAAAAGCCATTAATAAACAGCTCAACCAAAGAATTCACACAGACAGGCAAGACACCAGAATATAAACTGACAGCAAACAGCACTCCTTACTAGCATTGATGATGTTATCTAGTTAAGGTAATGAAACGTCTGTAAGAAAACAAGCAGAGAGCACCAAGGACCCCTCATGTCAACCCTGAGCTACAAATATTCTCCTTCATTGGTACCACATATTAATGTATGTGTTTCTCTTGCTTGTTGTTGCCCCCTTCCCACTGATGTGCAACTTTGGAGGGCAGGAACCTGTTTCTGATTTCACTTGATACCAGTTGTCCTTCTGACACCATCAAATATTTGAAAGGAACAGGGATTTCTTACCTTCCGCACGCTACCTGGGTCACTTGTGCACCAAACAGCTCTGCCACAAGACGTGGAAACAGCTCATTGCAGGTGGAATTGTGGCCAAGCTGCCCGTAGCAGCCAGATCCAAAGGTGCAGACTAATCCATCCTTAGTGGGAAAGAAGAAAAACATGGCACCGTTCAACACAATGACTTTGTCACTTGGCTGGGAATATTAAAAGTTGTACGCAGTGTGAAGGGAAGGAGGAGTGGTAGTACATAATAGAAAGTATGTAGTCTTTTTTCAAATGATACCTATCTTAAAGAATGAGGTTAACTTAAATGAATGGCAGAAAGGTATCAATAAATTTATTTGGGCAGGGAAAAAACCAAGAGTAAAGCTTAAAATTATGCAAGATATTCGTGAGAGAGGTGGACTCAAGGTACCAAATTTGAAATTGTATTATGATGCTGTGGCTTTAACATTACTTAGTGACTGGGTTAATTTAACAAATGTAGAAATACTCCACTTGGAGGGTTGGGATTTACTTTTTGGATGGCATGCCTATCTAATTTTTAATAAAAAAGTTGATCGGGTTTTTAAATCTCACATTATAAGGATTTCTTTACTTCGGGTTTGGAGGAAATATTATAAAAGTGATTTTAAAATACCATTATGGGCTATACCTTGGCATGCGATAGAGGGGATAAGGAGAGGAGTTAAGATGGATAGTGTTTCTTATGCACAATTACTCAGATGGGATGGTAAAAATTGGCAGTTAAAATCTTTGGAAGATTTAGCACATGAAAATATTACATATTCATGGTTTCAGTATAGACAAATAGTGGATAGATGGAAGATAGATCGTAATATGGGTTTGCTTAGAGAAGATGAAAATCTTTTTAAACAAGTAAAAGACCAAAGGCGAACTCATATTAAGAGAATCTATGGGGTGCTAGTAGAACTGGATTCAGAACCAGAACTAATTAAAGAATGTATGATTAAATGGGCACAAAATTTTGGTGAACCAGTTCTACTAGATACCTGGGAAACCATCTGGGTGAGGAATGTTAAATTTACACAAGCCCAGAATTTAAGGGAGAATTTTTACAAAATGTTTTATAGATGGCACCTTGATCCACAAAAAATGTCTCGTATGTATCCTGACTTACAGCCTAAATGTTGGAGATGTGGTTGTTTGGATGCTACTTATTATCATATTTGGTGGTCGTGTAAAAATATAAAAGCTTTTTGGATTAAGATATGGTGGAATATTCAAAGAATTTTTAGAAGGAGGGTAAAATTTACCCCACAATTGTTTTTGTTGGGTATCATTACTGATTGTGATGTTAAGGAGGTTATACTGATGTTAAATTTAATTACAGCCGCAAGGTTGTTAGTAGGGCAATACTGGAAGAAGGAATCTTTGCCTACCTTGCAAGAATGGTTTTTTAAAGTTTCTTATTTGGCGGAAATGGCAAAGATTTCGGCTTTTTTAAAGGATCAATCGCAAGAGAAGTTTTTTGCGGTATGGGAAAAATGGATAGATTTTATACAACATAAGTTGGATATAAAAATATTACTTAGTTTTTCAATAACTTATATATAAATTTTAATATTTTATAGTTTGTATTTTTTTTCCTTCTTCTGTTTCCTTATATTTCTTATTTTTGTTTTATATATATCTTTTCTTCTTTCTTTTTTCTTTTATTTTTTTTAAGCATTTTTCTTTTTTAATATTTATGCTTTTCTTTTTTACATATACATTATTGTTAATTATCTTATAAGCTTATGTAATGTATTTAGATATATTTATGGTTTATACTTTTTTAATTTCTTTTTAAGATTTTTAGAAATTTTAATTAAGCCTATATTCAGCTCTGGGAAGGTTGGGGGGATGGAGTGGGAGGGTTGGGGTGGTTGGGTAGGGTTGTTTTTTGTTTCTTATCTTTTTTTTTCCCCTATTTGTAAAAATTTTAAAAAATTTTCAATTAAAAAAAAAGAAAAAAAAGAAAGTATGTAGTCTATATTCTGCACTACACAGACATCACCAAGGAAACTTAAATCTAGATCAAAAAGGGGGTTATTGCAGTCTGTACAATCATGCAGTCCTCAACTTACAATCATTTGTTCAAAGTTACAATAGCACTAAAAAAGTGAATTATGATCATTTTTCACACTTGCTACCATTGCAGCATCCCCAAGGTCAGGTGATCAAAATTCAGGTGCTTGCCAACTGGTTCATATGATGGTTGAAGTGTCATATAACCACCTTTTGCGACCTTCTGACAAGCAAAGTCAATGGGGAAGCCAGATTCACTTACTAATTTAACAACTGCAATGATTCACTTAACCACTGTGGAAAGGTTGTAAAATGGGGCAAACCCCACTTAACAACTGTCTCACCTAGCAGTGGAAATTTTTGGCTCAATTTTGGTTGTAAGTTGAAGGCTGCATCTATTTTACTCCTGCTAGGAGTACAGCTGTGTTGGACTTTGCATGGCTTATTGAGATCTACAGAATCGGTTAGAGGTCCTTTCACAGCCCTCCTATAAGCCTTGGAATTGTATCCATAGACCTGAACAGCAAAGGTTGATGTCCCTTTTAATTTCTCACAGTGCCCTTAAACATAGCATTGCTGTAAGGGTTGATTCTGTGATTGAACAAGACTTTTAAAAACTGTAACCCTAACCCCACCCATTTATAGATGTGGGCAAAGAAGAAATTCAAGCAAGGAAATAAAGATGTATTTATTTTACAGGATTTATGGGTGCCTCAATTAATCATGATCCTCTTCTGGATTGTCCCATTTGTGTTTCTTTGACATTAGATGCAAAGCACCTTTATCTGAATGTGGTTTAGAATTCTAGAGAAGACTGTATTAGTACAGGTAATTTTCGACTTAGGATCATTTGTTCAGAGCAGTGTGCCCTGCCCATATCACCATGGCAGCCACTGCATTACAAGAGGTCTCTGCTGGGTGGGCCCACCAATGTGCAGACTTTCCTTTTGTGCCACCATTCCTGGAAAGCATAGGCCTTCTCCCTGTCCCACCACTCCTAGAAGGCTTTGGCCTTCTCCCCACCCAACTGTGTAGGTCAACTCACCTTATCTTTCTATATAGCTGCTGACAATGCGACAATACGCCCAGCCAATGCGAGACACAATTACTGTAGAAAGCTAGCCAATGTAATATTTCCAAAGATAGAAACAGCCTCAGAACATTGTGTGTGGGTCAATGGTCATCTCAAGAGGTTTCTGAGACTCTTTCTAGCCTTCAGTATCATTATGAGGGCTGGCACCTGTTTCACTAGTTCTGAGACAGACTCCTAGAGGTGAATCCAAGAGGAAGGTATCATACAAGATTTCACACAAATCAGATGAAAAGTTTAAAAAATTGGTAAATATAAACCTTTGAGAGAACTGCAGTGTGCTCGCCACCACATGAAATAAAAACTGTCTTCTTATGCTCCAATGCCTTGACATGTGCAGGAATGTATCTGTCTGAAAAGTAAAAGCAAAATTAAATATAACCACTTCCAGACAATCACAATGTTTTTTAAAAAGGTGAAATAAAATCTGTTATTGTATTTAACACATACAATAACAGATGGTGAACAGAGGGATTGGAAGATTAGTGTAATGTTTGGGCTAACGTGTTGACTTTTTTTTTTTTTTAAAAAGTACTATAATCCTGATGTTGGGCCGATTTGATTATCAGATAGAGATCTCCTTACCAGGAATATTTGTTTATTTAATGTAGTATTTTTATTAAACCGGGATGGGAAAACTTATAACTATTTATAAACCTGTTATCTAAAGAGGAGAAGAATTTATAATTTTTTCTTTTTTTCCCCCTCAGCATCCAGTCAGGCTGAATTCTATATGTTTATGTTTAATGTTAAATTGATTTGATATTTAGCGCATTTTCTTTCTTTTTTTGTACACATTTTTTCTTTTTTGTTGTTGTTAGTGTTGGATGTATGTCTTTCTGTTTTGCATTTTATTCTCATTGATAAAACAATAGGCAGAACGTCACATACTGTGAACACTCTAAATTCAAAATTTTTGTGACTGACAAAGAGTTAATGGGAGACTAGTATAGCTATTTCAAGCTCTTTAGCTCTCATCAGCTAGTCATACCCCTCTGGGATTCGAACCTGTGGCTCAAAAGGTTAATACAGCTGCCTAACGTGCAAGCTGCCCAGGTTTTGCATACAAAATGGATTCTTTGTCAAGTACTGTGCTTCCTTTCTCTATTTAAGAACATACAGGGACTACAATAGGGACCCCATCATTCATTGTTAAACAGTATAGACATTAAGTGAGACATGATGGGATTACATCTGATTTTACAACTTTTCCCCCACGGCCATTAAGCAAATTACCATGGTTATTAACTGTGATTTGCAACCTTCCTTGTTGATTTCACCATTGATTTTGCTTATCGGAAGCTGGCTGGAAGGATTGCAAATGGCGATCACATGACCACAGAATGCTGTGATCATTGCAGTTTGCATAATGGTTGCCAAGTGCCCAAATCACAATCATGTAACTATGGGGACACTGTGGCTGTGTGGGAGGTTAAACCATTGTAGCTCATGCTGAGTGATCAATGGTAGTGTATTAGAGAGATGGGTGGGAAAAAGTCAAAGGAGAGCGTTGACCAGACGCCACTCCAGTGCATGTTAAAGAATTTCAAAAAGGGTTTTTCTAGGGATTATGGAGATCCAAAACCAAATCCAGCTATGTTAAAAAGATTCTGTGAATCTGAGTGGACTGCCCTGGGCGTAGGGTGGCCAAAAATGGGATCGGCGAATCCCGAACTCGTTGCACGGGTTCATCAAATTGTAACTGGAAATGGTTATTGGGACCAGTACCCCTACATTGACCAATGGAAAATCAACAGTGCACAGAGCCCAGATGGTTAGCAAAATGTCAGATAGAATGTACAAAGATATATTTGGCAAGCCAAAAAGCCAGCCTCAAACAAAAGCTAAGATTTTCAGCCAGGAAGATAGGGAGGAAATTGCCAGACCACCCTCCTACGTTCCTAGAAGAGAAGAAGGGAGAATAAATCAGCAAATTCCATCCCCTCTGCCTGAAAGAGAAGCCCAATTTCAGCCAGAAGCCGGTGAGGAAGGAAAATTAGCAACAGCTGGATCCCTTCAAGAAACAGATAAAAGCTTGAATAACTTTGAAAGTGAAACCTCAGTTTCTAGCCGCACCAGGAGCAAGTTAGAAATAAAAACAGAAGAAAATATAGCCCCTCTAAGAGAGGTGTTGGTTCCTGGACCAGATAACACTAATATTTCAATGCTACAATATGTTCCGTAACCGTGACAGGGAGGAGGAACGCAAATCAGATCAAAAAGAAAAAAAGAAAGTTGAAATGTTAGCCGTGGCATTGGGAGGAACATGCCTAGGACCCAATCAGTGTGCCATCTGTAAACAAGAAGGACACTGGCAAAGGGAGTGCCCCCAGAGGAATGGCCAAGCCAGGGGACAATCTCGCCAGTATGGAAGAGGAAGAGGATTTAGAGGGACTTTCCAGAGAGGCTTAAGAAAGAGCTTCAAAGGAAGAGGGCATCCAGTTTATCCCAATCAGACAGAGGAAAGAGAAGAAAACATGATCGGCTTAGCTGACATGGAATGGGAAGACTGAAGAGGACAGGGTTCTATTGCCCCACCCCCAGAGCCCATTGTTAAAATAAGGGTGGGAGGACAGGTTGTCCCGATGCTAGTTGACATGGGAGCCACCAGATCTGTCCTAAATAAATCTATTGGCAAGCAATCAAAGCCTTGTGGTAGCCGTATATTTAAAAATTCGCCAACGTGCTTTAGTCAAGCCCTAGCCCAAGATCTTGCTTATCTGAAGTTATTCAGACAAGAGGATTGTTGCCTTCAATATGTCGATGATGTCTTAGTAACTGGCCAAAGCAGGGAGGATTGCTTTGAAAACACATCCAGACTGCTCCAATTGTTACAAGACTGTTAGAGCATCCAAAAAGAAAGCACAATTAATTCAAGAGACTGTAATGTATTTAGGCTATGAACTTTCACAAGGACAAAGAACTTTGGGCCCCCAGAGAAAGCAAGCTGTGTTACAGATTCCCATCCCACAAACAAAACAGGAAGTTAGAGCCTTTTTGGGAATTACAGGCTTCTGTAGAATTTGGATTCCTAACTTCGCTCTCACAGCTAAACCATTGTACCAAGCTTTAAGGGGACCAGAAAAAGAACCTCTTTTGTGGCAAGAGGAACAAACCCAAGCAATGAGACAATTGCAACAGGCTCTCACCACAGCCCCCGCCCTAGGACTACCTGATATATCTAAGCCTTTTTCACTTTATGTGGATGTAAGACAAAATGTAGCTTTAGGGGTCCTTATCCAAAAACAGGGAAGTTGGAACCGCCCTGTCGCTTATCTGTCAAAACACCTGGACATTTCTTCACAAGGCTGGCCCCAATGTTTAAAAATTCTAGCAGCAGTTATGCTATTACTGCAGGAGGCAAACAAGTTAACCTTTTCAGCTCCAGTGACTGTTTATACTAGTCATGCCTTGCAGACAATCATTGACAATAAAGGACATTTATGGATAAGTAATCAACGAATGCATAAAATACAGGCTCTTTTATTAGAAAATCCACAAGTTACACTGCAACAATGTTCAACTTTAAACCCAGCAACTCTAATGCCAATTCCTGATTCAACCAAACCTGTTCATGACTGCATGCAAACAATAGAACTACAATATTCTTGCAGACCTGACCTTACAGACCAACCCTTGCATAATCCAGACTATCAATGGTTTACTGATGGTTCTAGCTTTATGGATAAAGGATGTAGATACTCTGGTTACGCAATAGTTTCTCAAACTTCTACTGTTGAGTCAGCACAGTTGCCTAGTCAAGCCAGTTCACAGTTTGCAGAATTATATGCCTTGACCCGTGCATTAGAAGTAGCAGCGGGAAGGACTTTAAATGTATATACAGATAGTAAATACACATTTTTGACAATACACGCACATGCGGCTATCTACAAAGAGAGAGGATATTTGGATTCCACAGGCAAAGTTATCCAATATGCAACTTTGATTAAAAGACTTATCAAGGCAGCACAATTGCCATCCAAAGTTGCAATCATCCATTGTCCTGGACATCAAAAAGACTCAAGCCTTATTACCCAGGACAATAGGAAGGCAGACAAAGAAGCAAAAAGGGCTGCATTAGAAGGTCCCCCTCTCCAATCAGATGTCACAAGGTTCATGTATCTAGACACTTACTTAGAACAACTTGATCCTACATATACGAGGGAGGAAACTCAAAAATTACAACAAGATGTACAAGCCAAACTAGTTAAAGGCTGGTACACTTTACCTGATGGACGCATTGCTGTTCCTTTGGCACTTGCTCGCCCACTTATTTTTCAGGCACACAAGCAACATCATTTGTGAAAAACTGCATTATTACAGCAACTTGAACGATTTTTTTATATTCCATTTGCTTCTTTGCTAATAGCAGATGTTTGTTCTCAATGTACCATTTGTGCCCAAACCAATGCACGCCAAGGACCAGTAATACCACCTGGCAGACAACCAATCGCTTATTTTCCTATGGACTATGTTGTTGTTGATCTTACTGACATGCCTAGAAGTAAGAAATATGTAGCATTGTTAGTAATAATTGATACCTATTCAGGATGGATTGAAGCATTTCCAACTGTAAATAAGAAAGCTGTACAGGTTGCCAGAATATTTCTTAAAGAAATTATTCCTAGATTTGGTTGCCCTTCTAGGATTTCATCAGATAATGGCCCTGAATTTGTGCACCAAATCAATCGGGCTTTAGCCCAAGCATTAGGAATTAAGTGGAGATTTCATTGTGCTTTCCGCCCTCAATCGGCTTCTAGAGTGGAAAGATCCCATAGAACAATTAAAACACTTATTACCAAATTTTGTTTGGAAACTCATCTACACTGGCCAGATGTTTTGCCTATGGTTTTGTATGCAATCAGACTGGCCCCCCGCACTAAATTACAACTTAGTCCTTATGAGCTCATGTTTGGCCGTCCTCCTTGCCTGTTTAAACCTGACAGTCAAGGCTGGCCTGACTTGGCACATAAGGGGGGAGTAGATCAACAGAAATCGTTACATCAGTTACAGCTTCATAATTTGGCCCTTTCAAAATTGCGCCATTATATGATGGAACAACAACCCCCTCCAGTGGTTACAGCAACACATGGGTTCAAGCCAGGAGATAGAGTGTGGGTAAAGCACTGGAAATCAGATCCCTTGAGCCAAAGATGGAAAGGACCATATACTGTTGTCATGTGTTTTCCTTTGGCAGTGAAAACCTTGGAAGGAAAGTCTTGGATCCATTGGAGTAGAGTGAAAGCAGCTGCACCTGCAGATCCGGTGACCTACAAGGTGGACAAGACTGACAAGCCTTTGGTGTTGAAATTTACAAGAAATACAGCAACGGGTTCCCAAGACACGGTGTGA